GTTGAACCGCAAGTTACGCGTCGATCTCGTCGTACCGTTCGACCACCACCTCGTCTTGATTTGTGATCAGTGTGGTTGAAGCCCTTTGGTGGGGAGAATGTTGTGTATCGTGTCGGAGAAAGGTCTTCTGGGGTGTCGTCGAGATCTCGTTGCGACCGTGACTCCTGCTTGTCTCCCTGGATAGGTGCTGCTTGCTTTGCTTTTTGCGTAGTGTTTGATTATTGTTTACTATTGCGTATTGTTAGTGTTCGTTTTGATTTGGTACAATACTTGTTACGAGATACGACACATTGTGTAGTGTGTGTTTGCAGCACGAAGAAGACTGCTCACCAGAACGGTTAGCTCAGGAGCTTGGGCTTACCTTGTGCAATCACAGTTCATCAGCTTGGACATTGCGCTTGGTCCCATGCGAATAACCGACTAGAATAGTAATTATTTCTTCGTTGCATTTTTGAATTGTGTTCTTGCTAGCTCGTTGATTTATTTAGTTGATGTGTTGATTTGTGTTTGATTACTTATTTATTTGATGCACGATTTATGTGCGCTGATTGCGTGATGGCATGCAATTATGATCGTGCTTGCGTCAGCTAGCTAGATGCCTGCGCCGCGCACTGATGTTGAATGAGTTAGCATGCGCCCCGCGCTGTTCATGCATATATGGTACATGGTGTGTAATGTTTGCCGCATACGCGTATAGGTGCCGCGCCTCGTACTGCTCATGTGCCTCGCGCCGTACTATTGCTGTCGCTTTGCCAAATTTAGCTTCCGCTTTCCGAGCGCTGTACGCTCTTCTGTACGCTCATGCCAAAGTTGGACGCACGTTGTGGCTGGCCAGCGCTTTACCCCTCATGCGTTGTTCTTTTCCTTGATGCTGTGGTTTGTTTTTCTTTAGTGTTCTAGAGTTCTCTTTCCGATGTAGTTCGTATTTTTCCAGTCTCTTCTTCTCAATGTATTCTACTGTTCATTCATTATAGTCCGTAAAGAATTACGTGACCTTTGTCTTGTGGCGTCTGTGCGATCCTGAAACTTTTGAGGTGTTAGTAGTGAACACAACACCGCCATGTACACAAAATGAATGGCGCGTTTACGACCCGGGTTGATTTCAACCCTCCCCCCCCCCCCCAAGGGGAGGGTTGAAATCAACCCGGGTCAAGAAAATCGTACTAACGTACTTCTGTGCGTATTTCGCACCAGGTTGGAACAGCACTGCATATGCAAATTAATTTCGCACGAACGGATTCACGTGCCCATACTGTAGAAGTGGACTTTTGGCGGCATATCAGTATTTGACCCGGGTCAACTGTCTTCATGTAAACGCTCACCTATTTTGTCTATCGTACAGACTTTCAACCCGGGTCGAGTTCAGCCCGGGTTGAAAGTCTCTCATGTAAACACAGCCTAATACTCGGGAAAAGGGCGCGCTTCAGGCTCTTTAAAATTAAAAAAAGAACATCTTGAAAGTTTTCAGTTTCACTATAATTATAATTTTTGTAGTGTCACTACGCTTTCAAGCCTTATAATAATATTATCACATAATATCACGTGACTGTTTCCTTGGATCGGGCCTATCACTGATCTGTATGAGCAGGCAAGAAATCAGTCCAACGCCCGCGTCCAAAGCCCGTTGTCCGTGACAATCCTGACAGTGACACTGGACGCGTGAAATCTCAGTACGGGATTTAAACACGGTGACTGTGTACAGTGCAGTGTACATGTACTATGTACATGTGAACGCGTGTTCGAAAGTGGCAATCTCAGCTTTTCTTTTTCTTTCCTTTCTTTCCTTTCAAGTGTTGCTGCACACGAGGTCGACTTTCTCCTTTAGTTTTGATTCTTTCAGGTTAGTGTCTTCAGTAATATTAGGCTGAAAATGATAAATCCATTATGGCATGGTTGGTCGGGCAATAATGGATTTCCTGTGCCCTCCAAGTGAGCCCTCGGGCTCACTTGTCGGGCAATGAAAATCCATTATTGCCCTCCCAACCATGCCATAATATTATATAGTGTTTAAACCGAACACGGATTCTTCGAACGAATAATCTATCGAATAATTTCGCCCTTCATCGAACGAATAATCTATATTCTATCATACGCATGATGGCATTTTTCAACACTTTTCAGCACTTTTTAAGTAGTTTTTTTTAAATTTTTTTGCTGATTATCGGATTTTGTTATGTGGAGGTGCAAAACCGGTTAACCTGTACCGCCAAGAGTACATACCCCCCCCCCCCCCCCAGAGTGTGCAACGCCTGATCCAGCTTTGCATAGGGTATTGACTCTTTACTTGGTCGAAAGTGGTCAAAGACAGAAAATCACATTCACTGCATTCATGTTTCCCTCGTATGGAAAGAACAGAAGTAACACTAGATACCGATAGGAGACTAAGTTACTTGGAGGAGAAGAGATTGAGAAGAAATACTGCGAGCTGATCTACGCAGTGCAAATATCAGTAGGGTCAGCACTGAGCATAGATCGTTTTTTTTTTTTTTTTTTTTTTTTTTTTTTCGATTTCTGATAATTCCTACGACTATTCGATTATTCGTTCACCCCACGAATATTCTAAATTATTCGATTATTCGATTATTCGTTTCAACACTAATATTATACATCATGTTCACCGGATCCGCGTCGGCAGCGCTTGAATCATACGGTTCAGAAGAACACAAACTAGCCTTCGCATCCGCAGGCCACCACCGTGTGCTTTATCGTTGGGTGAAATACGGGCAGAATCAAACGCACAAGGACAGTGTTGAATGGATCAAGATGTTCTTCAAGATGGAGACTCCCTCGATTTAGGCTAAGGCCTGTGGAGAATCCATAAATACAAATACAAATACAAGAGCCTGATGTGTGTCTTTTGTTCTGATGACATGACCTTCAAGCTGACTGGATTGTTCTTTTTACTAGGACCAAGAGCACATAACTGGTTATGTACTCTTGAGAGGTCGTTAATCACGAGGTTGACTGTACCGGTATGTGATGCTCATGCACTTTCAATGCTTTCGTGCAACTAAAAAAAATCAAAAATCACATATTTCCAAGAAATAAAAACCGTGGACAATTGCATCAAGTTTTTACCGGCACATTCGGGCTCTCCGCCTTCTCTGTGAAATAGTAAGAAAAAATGCGCACGTTCGGGCTCTCCGCCTTCTCCGTGAAATGAACAGAACCAACAGTATTAGTTTAAAGGTCCGCACTAAAGACTACAAGTTCCGTGAAATGCCAGCTTCGGCAGCAACTAGGGAGGCAGAAGAAGAGACAGTTGCATGCACAGCGAAAACGGAACGCTTACCAAGCAGACACATGACACTTGCTCTGAGCGAAGCAAAGCTAAGGCGGCAGCGGATTAATACCATGACAACCGAATATGGTTCACTGCTTTTCTCAGCAATGAGGGATGCAATACGCTTTGCGAGGCAGATTGCTTGCCCATGCCACCCAGAAGACCAACGGGACAAATGAAGCATGCTCGATCTCCTGCAGTCCCTCTTCGTACGATCTCTTCTTCGCCGCTTTCTCATAGGGAATGTAGGTGGCAGAAATGGAGGAGGACTGGTTCGAAGACGCAAAAGGGTTGAAAACCCGGACGTCGAAGAAGGTGCGTTCGAACCGCCCTCCCCATACTTCATTTGTTGCTACGTCCAAGCAAGCCGCTGGTCGTCGCGGATGGCAGTGTGATAGTGAAGCTGCTCCCCACTCAGGGGTTCGAGGTGGGGCTCCACAGATACATTGGTGGCAACTCCGACTTCAATAAACCAGCGGTCACGTATCTAGTTGTGCCTGATGGTAGGGTAATCGGCGGTGGGGCACGACAGGACATGGGCCACCGTAAACTGGCTTCCACAACCCCACCCTGATGGCATGCGCTGTGCCATGGGTTGCCAGTTGTACCAGATGAAATCCATCACGAAACTCCAAGGGCCTGCAGGTCAGCCAATTGGAGGAGCCCTTCTCCGCAGCCAGGTCAGTTACATGCTGCTGGAGCGGAGCAGCAGGGCTTGGGCTTTGACAGCATTCCGTGCTGTTGTCATGATCTCCACATTGGCAGTGCAAACGAGACTGGTTGCAGAGCGGAGCGCCATAGTCTGCAGCTTAATGTTGCTCTGCAATTACTCAGTCATCTGACGCGATGCATCATACTGGAATGAGAGATCCATAGGATTGCCCAGCCCGAGCCCTCCGTGGCGAAATGGAAGCGCTAGAATGGACCTTTCTTCCGACGAGTTGACAATATGGCCGGTAAGAGCGAGGATGAGCCTCTCCATTAGCAGCTCCTCCACAGGCGCCAAAGCAGCTGTCGGTGTGGTGCGGCAGAGGAAAGACCACTTATTCTGCAGGCCTTGGGTGAGCGCAGCGTATGCAGCTTGTGGTTGCGTTTCCGCATACGAGGACAACTTCTCCATGCGGTTGAGCCATCTTGTTACCTTCTGCTCAGCAAAGTTATCTAGGAATGCAGGCGTACAGTTAGCCGAACCCAGGTACCGACAACCATCGACGCGGATGACAACTCCGGTGTTGGCGAACATTTCCAGTCCAGGTATAATGCTCCGGTTTAATTAAGGTTCAGGTGATAGCAAGAGTACATCAAACGTAAACATGTTTATGCACTCTTGGTGATAGCCATAGGCTGGACCTTGCTCTCTTGCATTCGTGGAATCGTGATTTCCGGTCTGTAGCTGTGGCCACGTAGTGCAGGCAGCACATCACACCAGACAGCACGTGCAAAGTTGCATACTCTTCGGGTTATCTATTTTTGATAGGAGCCTTTATCCAGAGTACTGAAATACCACTGTACTGAATTACCAGTGTACTGTGATCAATGCCGTGGATTTTCTACACAACTCATCAACATAAATAATTAATTACATAATATAAGCACAATCCAAGTGTGATCCGCACCAGACCAAGATCCGGCACATTACTTAAATTCGAACATAACAAGTTAGGCCACGACCTCACCGTCGGTGGGAACAAACTAAACAGCAATTCGAACCAGGGAGTAGTATAATACCGGTATTGTACTCCTCCCCGATTTGAACCAGCCAACTGGAAATCCAAACCAGCGCGGCACAGCAGAACACAATGAGCACAAACCGTCTAGTATACACTTTGAACGTGGGAAGATGCCGGGGGCTTAGTTAAAACACGAAGAAAATGCTGCATAGAGACACATCTTGTGTAGCACGGCACAACGGCATTAAAACGGCGGCTTCCCTTCCTAACACTAGGAGAATAGGGTATAAATGCTAAGGATCCCAATCTAAGATATGCTAGAGAAGTTGTCTGTTGCATTACACTGACTCGTGTGGAAGAATGAAAGAGTGAGAAAGAAAAGGATAAAAAAAAGAAATACTACGAGCACGCAATCACACAGTTTGTCCTCCCTATTCATTGCATTTTGAGAAAGAAAAGAGAAAATAATGTACTAGTCTTGAGTGACGATAATCTGAGGCTGATTTTGCTCCTCGCTTCCGGGATGTAGTTCAAAAGAGCTTCCCAGACCGCCGAGAGTCGCAATGGCTGCCTGCAAAGCAAGCGAGGCAACGGCACCACTGCCGCCGACAATCCCGTCCGTTGGGGGCGATATCGGAGGCGAAATGAGGAAGTCCTTACGTTTCCGTGGTGCTCTGAGCAGTTGGGAGCTAGTCGGGCGTTTCTACAGATGAGACAATGGAGCAAATAGCACATATTGAAGCCTGATACTTGTATAAATCATGCTCACTTTGCAGGGTTACACTTAGATCAATGCCTGTACCTATGGTGAAGTAAAACAAAGATAATAATAACATGCCGTAAAGTCGTGTATAAAGGCCGCGGCTTATATGACTTTTTTGGGGAAATTTTGCAGGCTCCTGCATGAGACAGGCCTCTATTCAAGATAGGTATTTCTATGTATGTCAACACTAAAACCAGGCTTCTATTCAAGACAGGCTTATATGAGACGGGTTTTAATACAAGACACTACGGTAGGTGGATGCAGCTGCAGTCACGTGGAATTGTATGTTCCAAAAAGAAAAGAAAAAAGGAGATGGGGTTCAGTAGAGGATTCTCCACGATCTAGGTGGCAAAAAAAACAGGTGTCCATGTGCTCAACTTATCGTGGCTGAGCTGCCACATTCTAGTTGATGACTGGCGGGAAACCCTGATGAAGTTTGTAGTTTAGAAATGGTTGATTCAATACATGTACAGCTTTGGGCATTGAAATCCAGTGGAATGGCCGGGAGCAGCATTCCAAACAAGCTTATGCCACAGTGCAGAGAGTTTGTAGAACAAACATCGAAGTACATGTACCGTAATGGGCCATTCACACTAACGTGCCGTACGTATAGTTTTCATCCGGATAGCCATGACAACATGGAACGCAGTGGGAAAATTGAACGCCTGGTAAGAAAACGTAGACGACGTACCCAGGCCCCTGTACCGAGATTCGTTCCGTCGTTCCCGGCAGTTTGAGTCCAAAAGAAGCCGTACACACAGCCGTACGAAAAGCGTGTACATGCCTGTGTGAATGCACCTGTATGAAAACGAAGTCCGCCAGTATATCGTACTCCAAGACGTGACGCGTATTGTAACGTAGTTCGAATAGCCTATAACTTCCCACGTAAAGTACCACCAATCTGCTTCCTCTACTTCAGTACCTGTGAAGCGACTTCAGGGTATGTCGTGAAATACGGTGTTGAACCGACGCATGCAATGTGTGCAAGTAAGAAATGTGCACAATCCAGCACAGCAGGTCTGATCTTTTCTCTCTCTTTTTTGTAGTTGTGTACTTGACCGCCTTGAACTTTCCCGACAGTTGTTGAAAACCAACTGGTAAGTGACACGGCGTGGGGGGGGGGGGGGGGATCAACGGTACTTCACGGTACAAATAAAGAATGCACCGACTTCCCTAACAGTGAACCCTGCATTGGGACGTTCCATGTATGGCACTTTTCGATTGGATAGATCCGCACACAGCTAGTACAGGGAAAGGGGAGTACATTTCAGAACGTGCTGGTGAGTCCACCCATAAAAGAACCCAGTACTGAAAGAGAAAATATGAAGTGTATAGTGTGCCATATATAGCTGCGTATGTACAAACATGCAATAATCACAAAGCGCAACAAAAGGGAATACAAATATCCAGGAAAGGACATGAGATTTGTGTTTACGGGGATGTACAGATTTACTTAAGTGAATGTGCAAAAGATCTCTGAATTCTTTGAGACCCGTTCCTAAATTATCCCAGTTTCCCTGACTTCCTGGAGAAATTTCTCCGAGAAGCTAGAGAAAATGAGAACACACCCACAGTCTTCACAAATGCAGTTTGGCCTTTCGACATTCTTCGGAATAAGTGTACCTTACTTAGCGCAGAAAAGCCCATGTGCTTTAATACCGGTACCGTAAAGTACCATTGATCCGCCCCCACGCCACGTCGCTTCTCAGCTGGGTTTTCGGCAGCGGGAGGGAATTAGATCAAGGCTGTCAAGTGCAGTACGATGTACAGCAACGTAGAAGTTCAGACTCGATGTGCTGGATTGTGCACATTTTCATTCTGGATTGGCAAATTTTGTGTACAGCAGTGCATGCGTCGGTTCAACATCGTATTTTCGTTGTATACGCCGAAGTCGCTTCACAGGTAGAAAATCGACAGGGGGCGGGAATTAGAGAGGGGGCGGATCAACGGTACTTTACTGTATATACAAAGTGCCACTACTTTTGGCAGAATCAAGAGGTCATTTTTGCTTGTGTATAAGCCCATGCTTGCATGCACAGTGGATCATAAAATGCCAATGGCCACTTATGGGTGTCCAAGAAGGCCAATAAGGCCGGGTGTATTGTCTCACATAGACAGGCCCTCAGTTTCTTCTTATGTGCTTGTTCACAACACAATACCACTATGTTCATGTACGATTTGAGCACTAAAAAAGTAAAAATGCATGCACAGCCCAGTCACCCACTTGAAGCCAGCACCCTGTGCCTCCGTTATGTAAATGGGCGTTTAAATAAGGCTAGGGTCAATAAGCCTGGGCGTATTTTCTCATATAAACAGGCCCTCAATCTCTTCTTCGGACTCCCTGGTCTGAATTATTCCACAAACTGGATGGTCTCTGGATTGTGTGGTATGCCGTATCTGACGCTATCGTGGGCTGTTCGAGAGTTGAAAAATGCTCTCAGGGTGCGTTTGACATGCTGACCCAGAACAAGAGTGAACAGGCTGAACATCTGGAATGGCCATGGCCAAACAGAACAGTGGGGATTACTCGGGCCACTTGATCGATTACAGATTACTGCATGCATCACTGTGCGTGATCACATGTGTTCTTTGTCGGGGAGCTCTGGCCCTGGGGCAAAGTACGAGAGACGCTACGCATGCTCCCCTCATAAGTGCGTGCTGATGGAGTGAGACAACGAGTGGCGACCATTTTATGCATGGAAACACGCAGCAAATTGCTGGGGAAAATTTGCTATATTTCAGAGGAGACACTCCCAGCTACAGTGATGACTATCCTAAGTGATACTTTTTAAGTGATACTTTTTAAGTGATACTTTTTAGGTAGCTTAAAGTACCGTTGATCCGCCCCCTGTCGATTTTCTACCTGTGAAGCGACTTCGGCGTATACAACGAAAATACGATGTTGAACCGACGCATGCACTGCTGTACACAAAATTTGCCAATCCAGGATGAAAATGTGCACAATCCAGCACATCGAGTGTGAACTTCTACGTTGTTGTACATCGTACTGCACTTGACAGCCTTGATCTAATTCCTGCCCCCCTGCCGAAAACCCAGCTGGGAAGCGACATGGCGTGGGGGCGGATTAGGGCTTGGCGGATAATGCCGGCAGAAAAATTGGCAGAATTCGGTACTTTTTCTGGTAAGTTTCATGCATGTTTGGTATGTGGATAAAGAAATGGAGCAGAATTCGAGGAATTGCCCGCCATAAGGTTTGTATGGTTCTGCCAATTTCGGTGCAAAAAAAGCAGAATCTGCCACCTTTTCGAGCATTATCCGCCAAGGCCTAGGGCGGATCAACGGTACTGTAGAAGCAGAAATTTTCGGTGGTGTAATATTTTCGGTATCCTCCAAAATTGGCGGTTCGGTGGAGGGAAATTTTCGGTAAAACCCGTTTTCCAGGTAAGTGTATTAGTACTACATGTATACAGTACTGGTAGTACCGACGTTTGGTTGCGTTTTATTTTCGGTAAAAATTGTCGGCACCGAAGTTACCGAAAATAAAACACCACCGAAAATTTCTGCTTTTACAGCAGAAGCCGAATTCATGGATAATAGTGATAATTCCAAAGAGGGGAAGGTAAGCGGTTTTGACTGTTCAAAACCTGGTTTAGTTGGTGGACTCTAACGCATAACTTGTGCCCCACCGTTTTCCTTGGCTCATCATCTGAGTACTTGCCGAATATTTGGTGACTTTATTGTGATGTTGATACCGTCAGCCTGATGATCGCCTGACATGGCATGAAATTTTGAAATTTTGTCTTTGGACTATTCGGGCCAAACAGTGTTGTTCTGACTGGGGTGAATACCTCGGCTATAAAGTATGTCCCTTGGAGATACGTTATACTGAAGTTTCACTGCATAGTATAGGACGGGAGGGGGTCAGACATTAGTGTGACCTGGATCTACATGTGCATGACTTGTACTTAAATTTAGAAAATTTTAAATGCAAGCATTGCATCCAACACATGCATGAACGTACCAATCTGGATACTCTGAGCTCACTGCCCTCGAATTCGAAGCCATCCAACTCCTTCTGGGCTGCATCGCAATGAATTTGTAGCAAATAGAGTACGAAGACTCTCTTGAAGCAGGCAACATACCGGAACTGAGCATGGGAGCCGTGAGAACGGAAGAGCGCCTCAAACTCCTCCTGTTTGACAAAAGACATTCACCCCAACCGCACAAACCAACCAGAACAAGACGTGAGAAAGGGAGGAAGGACACTGCCAGGCAGGGTTCTCTGTTTCAGTAGGACTATGTGCAAGTGTTCTAAACTAATAGTACCATTTACCTTCACATACACGTTGTCGAACACATCTTCCGACACGCAGTTCACAACAAGCTCAAATCCGGCTCCAGACTCTTCGTCGCTGCTCTCTTGCTCTGCATACGCTTGCATCCGTACTTTGTTCTCCTCATTCGGAAAAACCGGCCTTCTCTACTGGCCTGATGATGTGTGGACTGTAATCGGACAAAACCAAGACAACATTTGACGAAGAATGTAGACTACAGCTACAGGCCAGGAGCAAAGTTACATAGGGGCTTGTGTGTGTACTCTTGCTTCTACAAATACGACTCGAGATCAAAAACGCTCAAGAGTCACCAGTCAACCACAGAGCTTCCACTTTGGTGTGTCCCACTGATGCTGTCCTCCACTGCGAGTACAGTGCGTACCAGAAGCGTCCCGGCCAGACGTCTAGACGTCTACGGTCTACGTACCAGAAGCGTCCCGGCCAGACGTCTAGACGTCTACGGTCTGCTCCGCTCGCGATATGTTGCCGCAAAAATAATGTTGCTGCGAAATCATCGATATTTTGCCGAGCCTGGCACAAGAAACTCGGTATCACTCCATTTTGCTCCCGGAAAACGTGTATTTTATCCACTTCCCGTACAATGCATTTTCTATATCCTGGAGAACACGGGTCATGCGTGTGTGTTTAGAGACTGAAGCCTGAGTGAAGTGGGATACCTCAATGCAAACTTAAGAGGAGGGGAATTGTCTGCTGCATGATGAATGTTGTGTCGGCAGCACTGTACAGACCAGGTCCTGGCTGTACGTGTCTGGTGATGCTGTTACTATAGGGGTGTAGCAGCCGGTCCGGACCATACCCAGGGAGTAGTAGTACAATACCATAATATAATATAAAGTGGTCCGGACTGGGGAGTAGTACAATACCATACATATATTATATGTATGGTATTGTACTACTCTCCGGTCCGGACCACTTTTGCCACAATGCCAAAAGTGGCCAGAATGCAGGATTTTGCACCCTATAAATTTCAAAAACTCTCCCCAGGGGACACCCCTGGCCTGCTGGACCCCTCTCCAATCAAACCACCTTCAACAGCGGTGCTACGCTCCTGTACCAAGCATACGCACAACACCAACAGCAAGTATGATACTGAGATGCATGGGGGCTGTGGCTTCAGAATTTCAAATCAAGAGGAAAACTCGCGAAATCCCGTTGCAAGTAATTTTACACAGCGGACACACTTCTCCATTGTCATCTGATACTTCACCAGCACACGCATAACCATTCACTGGGCATGAACACATGCACACACCACCACACCCACACGCACACACACAGGGATGTACACCAGCACACTACCAATGTGATCATTTTAGCACTCACACATCACCACAGCAGAGTGGTGGAGCTAGCTCAGTTACATGATGGCAAAGCTGTCACAAATTCTTCTTTGCAATGTGATCAGTCTACAACAAAACCTAGAAAAAGGAAAAACGGGGGGGGGGGGGGGGGGGGGCACAAGTTACGAGGTATTTTGTAAAAAGTACTGCTTTTGATGATTGTTGCCGCAAATGACAAAGAACAACAGCATAGACAAGAACAGCTCGGATGATTTTCAAGACATTAGTTTGTTCCATTGCTCCATGGGACTACTCCAGTCTCACAAAGTACAACAGAATACACAAAAATAATATTGAAAATAACGTACATGCTGCACATGCTGGCGTGAGGTGAGGATGGTGAGACACGCATTCTCTTCAGCCAAATCTCGATGGCTGGCAGCGAGGAGGACATAACTTTACTTGCAGTAGTACTGTACATCTGGAACCGATACAGTCCTGTCGGATTGTGTGTTAACATTCAAGGCAGTGTCCAGGACACCTCCATCAGACTGGATGGGATATAGTCTTATAGCAAAAGATTCTAAACATCTCAGGTTCATGGTACCAGCAGGTTTTCCTCTCAGGGAACTGCGCTTGGAGCATTATATCTGCAATGCAGCCAGCCCCATATTATAGTTAGCTGACACCGTATGATAGCAGAGGACTTGGCAGAGTTACGCATAGCAGTGTCTGATCAACTCTCTAACCTTCAACGACGCGCGATGAGGATGTGCAGCCATGTATCACCCCCCAGCCACTTTCAGTGGAGATGGTAGGGTACTACAGTGCTAGGTCTGCAGAAATGCTACTGTTATGGTTCCGCATCCGGTGTTCAACTGAGCAGTAGCTGGGTACCTGGACTCCTGCAGGTGTGGTGCCATTGGTGCTGACTCCAGCAAATACACACGTGTGGGTGCTCAGATCAGAGCGGTACACCTAGACCAAAGGCTGGCACCGTTAAGATGCCGCTAACCCATCAATGGCACGAGTGAGGCCGGGTACGTCCTCCCCTGCTGTTTCTACCAAGTCTGCTCCTTCATGTGCAGCTGCAGCTTGTTCGGTTGATGCACCCTCCTGTTCATCATCGCTGCCTTCTGCTTCCTCTTCTTCACTTCTGAGAGTGAAAACAAGCACCACATAACAGTGTTCAATGAAAAACGAGAAGCAAAAACAGTGTTAACTTCTAAAGATTCATCTCTTTAAAATACAAGACAAAGAAAGAACTTAGAAGTGTTCGCTAGCTTAGCCAGCGAAGACAATTATTGTCGAGTCCAGAAGCCATATGGCCCACGGGCTGTGAAAACGTACCTTCGACCAAGAGTGAGTTCAGTTTTTCATGCCACTCACTACAGTGATTGTGATCTTTGATCTTGATTCTCACGATTTTTTTTATATTTTAGAAGATACATCTCATGGAAGGCGTACTTTCGCAGATTGCAGACCTTGTAACGATACTGGCCGAAGGGACACTTACAGGACCAACCACCCAACAGGTGGCGAAGGGCCAACACATTGCAGCCTCACGGCACATTCACAAGTCCTGTTCTCTCACCAGGCCATGCAAGTAGAACATACATGCATTGGGAAACTACACGGGCATACACTACTTAATGCTGTACATGTACACGCTGTACAATCATGCAGAGAACGAGTGCAAACTTACTCGGAGCCAGACGGCGGTAAGTCATAAGAACGCTGCTGACTCGCTACACCACCTGTACCAAAACAAACATACATGTAGTGACATACAGACACATTGCGCTGTCTAGAAACTTAGTAGGAAATATTGGTATAGTGGAATTTTTATGTACAAGGTCATTGCACGTTATCGACAAATTATTACAGTTGCACTCGGTGAAATTTGAACGGCCCTTGACACCCTGGAAGTGGCACGAATGCGGCTGGAAATACACATGTACAAAATACAACAATGAAACTGGTGCAGGGCGCCAGTTTTGCACTTTTGGGTCGGATTTCACCGAGCGCAACTGTACATGTGATTATGTTTCCATGCAATTATAGGCGATTCACACGACAGGCAAATCAACGTGCACCGGAACGTTGCCATGGTATTTCACCTGTGGACGAGAAAAGTGGCTGAAAGTGGCTGAAAAGTGCAAGCGAGCTGGGGGCCCACTTTCACGATAATCATGGCGTGCACGAGTACATTTACACCAAAAAGCGCGAAACAAGACTTGCTTTTTTACGCGGCTCTTTTCAACATAATTATTGTACAGTATGCGTGTGAAATACCCATGGCTACTGGTGGGTGAAGCATTCAAAAATGCAAACGCGCCTGTCGTTGAGTGCAGCCGTGTAAATCCACACAGTCACTTTTCTCGTATATCACTCTCTGTAAAACGTGCAAGTGCCTGTCGTGTGAATCGCCTATTAGACAAAACAAGTTGTGCATTTTCTTGACGCGACATGAATTTCAGGTATTTGTTGCTAGACCTTCATTTCTACGTTAATGTGTCTTTTCATGGACTCTCTACCACCGCGAGGTTTGTTTGATTTCACCTCCATAAGAGAAAAGCTTATTTCACAGCATCCGCAACTTGATCTTTGAAAAGGTGCATCCTGCCGCAATCGAAGACTTTTCTGGAAGTCCTATTGTGTGGAGAAACGCTTCAAGTTTGTGCAGCATTTTTTAACCGTCCACCGTGGACCCTGAAGATTGAACTGCAGAAGCAACTTGAGTGTTGACCGATGTACACGGGGATGGGCTGCAAAAAAGGATAAGAAGAAAAGGTAATGGAAAGGGAGCTACACTCCACTTTACCTCTAAAGTCTAAACATTACGGTAGCTGGAAATGCTTTGGACCGAGGACTCTCAGGAGAGCATTCTGGCATCACTGCAGCCAGTGACAGATTATAGTAGTAAAAGCGGAAGTCCCAGTCTTCTTCTCAAAAGGTCAAAGAGAGCTGGACCTCACCTACGGGTTTAGTGTTTTCTTCGTCAACCGGCGCCCCATTTGGCGTGGAGCTTTGTGTAACGCACAAACGAAGTTAATTTGCTAAAACGGTGAAAAACCCAACAGCAGTCAAACAAACACAGGGAGCATGGACAGAATATTCACACCGACGGCATAGCCCGAGCAACAAACCCTTACCTGTAGGATTTTTCCGGTACGCTTCTTGTGCAGCGATGACCTCTGCACCATTCGCGCACTCACTGTAAAGGTCCAGCAGGTCTCTGCATGAACAAAGTCAGAAAGAGCAGCAATCAACAAAAAGCTAGCAGTGGAACTCACCCAGTGTGTACTCTGATAGGACCTGCACTGGCTAAGCATGGACATTATTTGGGAGCAAGTGTGTATTTTCTCCATATTGAAGTGTGACCGGCCAAGAAGTTCATGTACCTCGTATACTGAGTATACTTTCCCGCTCCCCATGGAGGTGCATCTTATCAGAGGTCCTGTGCACCAGCAAGTCGTAAAATACTACTCCCTGCTAGGTACTAATGAAAAGCAAGCTCGAATAGGTTTGTCAAAGAAAAGGACACTGGTCGAGATTGCCATTCACTCTGTCCACTGTCACCATCTTGTAGTGGAATGATGGCAAAGCCCCTGTGACCCAACCCAAGCGGCCACACCACCAAGACGTTTTATATATATTAGGCCACAACAAAAAGATTTCGTGTTTCCGGTCGGCACCCCCCGAAAAAATACGCCCGGTCGGTCGGAAAATTATTATTTTTTGGTTTGAAAGTTTATTTCCCTGCTGTATTCATCATAGACATGAGCCAAATTGAGAGTTTGGATCAGACACTGGTGATACACAATATATACATATTTACACATGGAATATGGAGTAGAATACCACCGCGGGACGCAGTAGATGTATTGCATAGTTCAGAGATTTCTGAGAATTGTATGCAATACCAATGGGTCAGCATCAATAGACGCATAGTACTGACATTGACACAAAAACATGCCTGCACAAAATTGCACGCACACTACATATAGTACTACTAGCTACTAAAGCTACTAAAGCTACCAAAAAGAATTCCATAATTTTTGAAAAAACGGACCCGGTCGGCCGACCGGAAACACGAAATCTTTTTGTTGTGGCCTTACATTTGTCTACAAGGAAAAAAGAGAACTCACCAAAAGCCATGATCTCGGAACTACTAGTAGTAGTAGTACTTCACTTGACCTAAACCGGAACTAAATCGTACCCGCACGGTACGCAGCGCAGACTGCACGTACAGCAGAACATAACCATGATAACGCGACGCAGCTTGGAAAGCCAGCTAGCTAGCTATGTATGAAACAACGGACCGCAAGCATGACAGCGGGAAATGCAAAGGGCCAGTCGGCAACAGTACACAATGACGATTTATGCTATTGGGTATCATTCATGGCTAGACCTAACACTGTATGCACGTGACATGTCGCCAAGTTATTGTTCTAACCAGAGGAGTAATTGTCACCTTCAGCAGCATGGATCTAAGAGTAAGACTAAGACTGTATTCATCATCAATCTCGGTACGGTCAAACTGACCTGTTCAGCTCGAAGAAGGAGTCACCCCACTTGAACTTGCTAAGTACCTTTTCCGCTGACTCAGGAAACCCTGAGACCAAAACAAGACAAGCACACATAGATATTTGTAATCAAGAGTGTGCAACTTGGAAATCCCTTGGCCCAAGACAGAATATATCGTTATTATTGACATCAGAGTTCCGCAAACATTCAGTTTCCTGATGCCATCATGCGTGACCACTGACCAGAGATCAAAAGTTCACTTGTCCATCGTGCCTACAAAATTTGAAACAAAACAGCGGTCGATCAAGTCATGCATGCTAGACCTGATGAACTGGCATCGCATCATACGTGACACGCATAGAGAGGTCGACGCACATGATCATAGGGTAGGGAGAGAGGCCACACTCGATCATACATGTACTTCAACAAAAAAGAACATCATGAAAATTCCATTGTGGGCGAGCCCATTGCAGCTCAAGATAGGAGTTGCATCCTCTTGGTCACTTAATTTCGTGCTATTGAATTCTACCTCTCAGCACTAACTCCATTCTTCAGTGCATGGAAGGCAACAGTGACAGCAATTGTGTAGACACTAGTAACGGAGAACAAAGCGGGCCTCACCTCCTATGTAAAGACCTGCTGCGAATGCCTCAACGCATGAGAGCTGACAACCTTGGCCATATTTCACAGGATTTGCTGCCAACAGGAATGGCAGTAACCTCGGCGCGCCTCCCTTCATTTTATCGAACGGTGTATCATCCAGCCGGGCCCACGAACAGTCGATCACTGCCAGCCCTGCGGAGGAAAAAGGAAACATGGATAACATGAAGTGCAGAGTACCACAAGTAGCTAGTACCGCAGTCTGAGCAAAAGGCACAGTACAACAGTACCAATAGCAACCTTGACAGATTTCCTACGCCCATCGGCATTCATTGCAGCGGCAGCTTGAGACTAATAAAAGCCGACACATGTCAGAGCAGCCCAGTACTGCAGTAGCAGGCGTTGTGGCACTGAAACGACGGACTTTCCCACAACATGCAGCCTGACAGTTCTCAAGAATGAGCGAAGTGACGGAAACGAGCCAGCCATGCACTGGCTGCTCCATCAACCCACTGCAGTATGCGAGCACTGTAATGAAGTGATGCACTACGCTACTAGACACACAACGTACCACTCACCAGATGCGATGGAGTCGCGATCCTCGCGGGACAGTGTTTGTTTGCCCATGGGTGACAGGACTATGCCACCATGGAAGCGCTGAGAAAGCTTGAGTACTTTCACCATCCCAAAACGTGAAAGCTTCCTGCCAGTGCATCTTTTCGGATCACACTGACCCAGATCCTGGGGGAGAGAAAGCAACAGGGAAAGCGTCAAGACTATCTGGTTTGTCCAGTGCAACCATGGCTTGATCAAAGACGTGTGATAAATCATTTTCTTACACAGAAAAAGTTTCGCACACATGAGCTAAAGTGTCTTCCCAGCACTTTCGTTCAGGCATTGCAGAAATCCAGCGTGGAACGAATTTCACAAAAAAGTCCTGTGCATGCCAGGCACAAGATCATCCATGCAACCGAGTCTAAGCTTAGAACATAGCAAGCTCCTTAATTAATAGCTTGATGAATCGAGTACATCTCAATGCTGCTGTGTCACAAAGCGTAGCATTTCATTTGCTATTTTGTGAATGCAAAATATACCACTGTACAGACACAGTCACATTTCTTCCTGGGCACATCAATGACTACTCAGTACCCCATGTACGGGCACCCCATGCCAGCACCTACCCACATGGCGAGAGGACACTCAAGGCCACCTCTTCTGCTTGCTGTCGCCGCGGCCGCTGCCTCACTTGGGTCGGTCAAATCCGCATCACATTGCACGGCAGAAGCACCGGTTTCTTCTGCACCGGAAACAGAACAAGCAGAGCCGACCCCAGAGGAGGCAAACACCAGCACATGATTGCGCATACAGCATACAAGCACGGCTTTTTTATAGAGCAAAACCAGCAGATGCATATCAACCTCAGTATTTGGAACTGCCTTGATAGATCGAAACGTGCCAGAGCACATTCATGGCCCACTGGAGAGAAATCCCTATCGCTTCTGAGCACTGTCTGGAAGGATTATCTGCAAACTTGATCAGCTCGCAGGGCGGCGAATAAGCCTCACAGTACAACAGCCGGTGGTATCAAAAGCTCTTACATTTTTCTTTCTGAAAGTTTCTCAGGAAATTTACACAACGATAGCAAGTACTAGTAGCCATCTTCTGGCCAATTTAGCTTAGTTTACATTTGACGTCACGCTGACTGTTCAGGATGTCAGAGCCTGTCAGGAGGGCTAGAGCGAGCTGGCTTTTAATTTAGTGCAAAACTCCTTGGACGAAAATATCTCTCACTTCCATACGATAAGCCAAACTTGCTAAATTGCCAATTGTATACTCATGTTGCCATGGCGACCAGCACAGTGATGACGTATGAAAGGCTTAGCTCCACCACAGAGAAGGTCGATCACTGCAAAAATTGGTCATTTTCAATTGGTTTATTGTATTCACGATGTGAAAGAAGTGCTGTGTTCAATGCTGTTAGTGCTGTGAACTGTTTATCGGCCTTCTCCTGCATTTCCCTAGACTGACTGTGCCTAGGAAACGGTTCCTCTAGGAGAAGATGTTTGGTATTCGCCATCTCTCCTGAGACATTTTCAGCAAACTTTCAAAACTACGACATTATTTCATTCGTCAATCTCCACCACCCGTCGTCTCACCTGGCTTCAGAAGATGTTGCGAGAGATAGGAGGGTCGCCAGGAAGCATCACATCCATCTTCAGGAAGTGGGAAGAGCAAACGGCATGGTCTTTGGTTGGGGGAAATGCTGAACGTCTGATTCGTCCCAACCAAGATTTCAGCGTTTTGTTCGTCACTATTTTCGCTTGTCTGCTGATGTCTACGCACTCCAGCTTTCTCCTGTCGGTGTCACGTCCCAGTACACAACCGAGAGTACTACTAACAAACAGTTCACTGCACTAACAGCATTGAACACAGCCCTTCTATCACTTCGCGAATACAATAAACCAATTGAAAGTGATCAAATTCTGCGGTGATCGACCTTCTCTGTGGTGGACGCCTTTCATACGCCATCACTGCGCTGGTCGCTATGGTAACGTGAGCATACAATTTGTGATTTGGCAAGTTTGGCTTATCGTATGGAAGCGAGAGAAATGCCATTCGAACCGATATCAAATTGTCTTTCTTCTGGACCGTACTCGAAAGATCGATGCACTTCCCCTCTAATGACACTAAAATAATAGCCACAGGAAAAGATATATCATTAGTCTGACACAGTCCTGGGCTATCCCAATCAAAGTAAACGAAATCCTAGCTCGCTTATTCGAAATGCTCAAGTGGTCATTGCATGCAACACTGCATGGCGCGGTTGCCCGCGTTCACACTTGACATGCAGCCGTTTTGTACAACCCGCTCCTGATATCATTCCAGGGATGAATTTATTGTCATATTTTTGCATAGCAGTTTCTGCCATACAAAATCACAATTGTGTAGCAGTCTTTGATTTTGATTAGCATTTTTCTTTCAAGGTTGGGTGTTTACCACATTGTCCTTCTTGAGAGTGATGCCTGAAAGCCCATTTGCAAAAAGCGACTGAATCATACATGTGCACGCAGATTGAGAGTGCCTGCACCACATATACTGCACTGTATGCATGTTACTTGACAGTACAGGCTAGGCATGGATGGTCTGATTGTATCGCAGTTTTCTGCGAGTCACGGCGACTTTTGAGTAGCAGTTGATCGATTTTGCATAGCAAACTGCGATGCGATACAGGATAAATTCATCCCTGCATTCGCTCCGACAACGGCACTGAGTTCCGCAACGCAATTGTGGAGTCATTGTTTACGCTTATGGGAGTGCGTGTTCAGCATGGTGCTGTGCACCATCCACAGTCACAAGGATCTGCAGAGCGTGCGAATCGCACCCTGATCAGCCTGATCCGCAAGGTACTTGAGCCATCGTCCGACTGGAAGACGGATCTTGGCATGCTGCTGTTTTACTATCGAACACGCCCTCATAGTGCTACCGGTATATCGCCGATGATGGCCATGAGCGGCTGGCAACCGCCTCATTTGATTGTTGCAGGTGAGACTGGAGCGAGTGACTTGAGCAGTTGGGCAGAGCAGTTGTCACGACGTTCTGCAAGAATTCGTGATATCGTGGATGAAGAGCTGTCTTCTGCCGATTTCGTGGAACACCCAGATCCCTGTCCGTATACAGTTGGCGAGGCCATTCTCCTGGAAGTGGGTGTGCGACGCCAGAAGCGTCTTCCTCCCTTTGAGTCTGGCTGGCATGTTTCTCGCATTATCTCTAAGTCAACTGTCGTGATTTCTAAGTCTGGCCGACTTGACAAAGTCATCAATATAGCCTCGATCAAGCCTGATCCCACTCCGGTAGCCGGCCCTGAGTGTAGTCTACAAGCCTCAGGAGATTGTAATGTCTCTGACAGTGAGACTGACGAGGGTGTGCGCATTGAAATCGATGCGGCAGTGGATGTCCCAGATCATGCTCCGCATGGCTTGCGGAATCGTAGCACTTTGCAAGCCCCTCATCGTTATCGTAACAATAATTTTTAAATGTACTGGAGTAATGTTGTCAGGTGATGGAGTGAAGACGAAGAACTGTTTGTTTTTGACAACATGTTATTCAGTTGATTCGATATTTAATTCCTCTTTGTACTTCAATGTATTTCTGAACTGTACAACTGCTTCGCAGTACTTTCCGTTTTAGTAATAATTACGCTTCATCAATGTTCTCTTCGTTCAAGTATTTTATTATTTATCTTTTGAATCTTGGTCTGTTGCGGACTGTGCACGTGTTTCTGTACATCAGTAGTATACGCTAGCGTTGTACATCTTGTATGATGACTTTGTACGTGCATGCATGCAGGCATGCCAGCTGGTATTTTCGGCGGATCTTTTTGGCTTTAGAGGTTGTTGGTCATGGAGGTTTGCTTCGACTTGTAATTCGTATTTTGCTCTCCCAATTTATAATGATAATCTACTCGTGTAACCAATAATGGTTGTTCAGGTTGCGCTGATGTGTGGTTGCACGGGGGTGAACGAGCTAGTTTGGTAACAGGCCTTACAAAATACAGAGAGTTTTACTACGATAAAATAAGAATAAATTATCACTCAGCAAAATTCTCACCAGAGCGTTTCGGCTTGCGACGTCCTCGAGCACCTCCATGCCCTCCTTGCTTGTTGCCTTTACCCATTTGCTAACAAGAAAAGGGTTGCCGGAGTCGATACAACTATCTTTGTACTAATTGTAGTTCCTAACTGGACCTAAGAAATGGGATCTTCTTTGTAGTTGAGTCGGTGGACTTCGAACACAGTGAGTTGTGAGATTTGACTGGCTACAATAGGCGCTACAATCATGACTCCCTGGTGACCATGGTGACTCATACTCAACATCATCATGACGTTTGCAGATTCAGTACCACAGTCACGTCACATGACATCGGGACAAAACTACAAAACTTCGTTCCCGTTCGTTCCTACGTAGATCCTGCGTTCGTGTGCGTTGGAGCTTGAAAATTCTCTTTCACTTTTTTTTACTTTTTAGATTTTGAGAAGGAGAACGTCTTTTGATTTTTGATTATCTCTTGAGCTTGACTGTCTTGTTGCATTTAGCAACGTCAATGTTACTGGTAGCTTTTGTTGGTTCCTTAGGTTTTGACAGACGACCCTAGTTATAGTAAAGGAGGCCATATTATTCCCTTTCCAGTTGATACCGTCACTGCTTCAGGTAACAGTTCTCAAATCGCTGAATTTTCTGGTTGAGAGTTGCTGCAGTGCGAACGAACTCATTGATCATTACTGGTTGTAGTGTAGTGCCGTCCTTTCGGCTCCAGTTCTCGGTTGAAAATGGCAGGGATTGTTAGCTGTTCTAATGCTAGCAGTCCGTCGCACCCTGGCTTAGAGGAGAGCCTGGAGCGCTCACTGTCAGATTCAGAAGTCACGCCGTTGTTGAGTGCGAGAGGGTCGAGCGCTGAGTATATTTCCTCGTCATTGATCAACGGAGCTAGAGCATTGCAGTCTGTCGGTGACGGAACTAATGAAGAGGTGGAGATTGCTGCACCCAGTCGCCTCATGAGACCCGTGTCAGTAGCTACAACTTCTAGTGTTGATGGACTGCATTGCCATCCCGACGGAGATGATGCAGCGCGCATTGCCAGCGTAAAGTCAGCAAGGAGAAAACTCATGATTGCGTCCGCCTTCTGTTTGCTGTTCACCGTGTCGGAGGCTGCAGGTAAAGTAACAGTCACTGCATCAATTTAGGCGTCCCTTTGCACTGTGCGAGCATTGAAGAAAGTTACACTTGCACTAGTACTGGTAGTTGCAGTTGAACTTCAATGCTGCTAGTCTTCTGGTGTGTGTTACCGAGTTGAATGGTATTGATGAGATGAGGTTGTGATACCTCCTCCTATCACCTATTCCGCATCTACTAGTAACTCATGGAAGTAATGGCATAAGTATTTGTACCCGGCTTGATAATGCCGAGTAGAAATCACAACAGACTGGGTCACTGTACAGTAAAACCTGTCAAGGCGACCACTCTGATAAGGCTACCACCCGCCCTACATTTGTAGGCTAGAGGACCACAAAATCCAGGATCAAAGGGTATCACTTCCACTTGATAGTGGGTACCACCTGTGCACCAGGACCTTTAAGATCTGTGAGCCGTCGGCTTAGACAGGTTTCACTGTACATATTATACAGTACTGCCGGGCGCCAAAGAACTGGGGGTCAGGGTTCTAGCCTAGCCCGTTTTTATTTTCAGCGAACGCAGCAGTTTCGTTCTTTTTCGATGGTACAGTCTTACATGCACATTTATGCAGAGTTATACGTCTGAGTGTACATTATAGTGTACATTACGGTTTCCGTTCTTATCTGCAAAAATCCAGCCTAGACCGTTTTTAACCTTTTGAGCACGACGCTACCTGAATGCCTCCCCACGGCAACACCTGCAAAAGTGGCGTTTTTCCTATGAAAGTACTACCTGTTCAAGGATCGATAACTTTACCTTCCCTTGGACGAATTCCACGATCTTGAGCTTCCTGGAAAGGTCTTGAGACGAGGAGCAAACTAGTTCCAAACTCAGCTCGGAGCGAAACTAAACGCCCATGCTACAGTCTGGCAAACTTCACCCACGCGCTCGACAGACTTGAGCACGGGCAAGAGACCAAATCCTCAGCTGCCATTTCGCCCTCCTTGCTCGTATCGAGCTCAAATTTTTTTTGAGGACTCCCGAGATCCGCCACCATCATTTGAATCTAGTTTCCATGGCAGCAGGCAGCGCAAAAATGATCGAAAATGATCGAAAATGCAAAATACGCGTTCTGCAGATCGCGCAAAAAATTCTCTTTGAATTTGCCGTGTCGAGTCGCATATCTCAACAACCCGGGGTCGTATCGCTTCGGCGATTGTTTCTATCACAAGCTGAGAGTTTTCTCTTCCAGATACATACTTCGATCGTGAGAATCGACCAAGAATTGACTGAGTTACGATAGTTTGAAAGCACGCGATCCAGACAAATCGCGTATATGCGCGATGTACACTCAGGACGTAATATTACATCCTCCGTGGTGCAGTGGTATTCTGAATGACGTATTATTACGTCCTTCGTGCTGAACAGGTTAAAAATTGGTGAAATTCTAGCTTGGCCGTTCTTCGGCGCCCGTCAGTACTATAGACATCACGCTGCGATTTTGGCCTACTCCACTTACTTTGTACTGCTTAGGGAGGACAAATTACTAGTACAGTGTGGTAGTACTGTATTGTCATTTGGGTACTAGCCAAGAGTGCATTGTGAAAATTAATGGTAGGGCTAAATTTTTAATATGCAGTGTAATGTAAATGTACCAGGCTGCTGTGTCCAGAGGCACGGCGGGGCTGTGGCATTACTTTAACCTTAGCTGGTGTGGGGAGTGCCCGAAAGTTGATGGTGTCACTATATGCCGCCACACTATGTAAGTTCTTAAGTGTTCAGTGCAGTCTCTTACCAGCAATCCTCCATGTAGCGCACTCCATGATGAGCATAGCCAGTACTCTGCAGACTGCTGGTGCAGAGTGGTGGATTCCTGACACTGACGGTGGCTTATGCTGGCTCTGTAGAATTACCGTAAAAGTCCGTAAATAAGTACGTATTTACTTTCGAATTTAGTGACCACACCCGTACTAACTTTCGGGCGGGTACTGACTTTCGGGCGCGGACTAACTTTCGGACCCGACTTGTGTGTAGTGGAGAAGTCATTTTCATGTCGATGTACATGCTACATGCTGCATGTGTTCACCATGCCGGTACTTATTTCGGGCAGTATGTTTATCTGGCTTGACTTGACTTCAACAGACAGAGCCAAAAGAATGAAGGGGGTATTTCTTTCGGGCAGGTACTTATTTACGGACTTTTACGGTATACTATTATAGACTATAGAATAGTACAATAGAATAGCTGGCAGGCATAGTGGGGGATGGTCTAAGACCATGATTGAGAAACAGAGGGTACCAGGTTCAAGTCCTGCTTGGAAGCGGAAGGATTTTTCCATCCGTGCTGCGACCCACAGTTAATTGGGAACTCGTGGCCTGGCACGAGGAGAACATGGATGCAGTGAATGGGAGTTTCGGTCTTCGACCACTTTCTGGTGAGCTGATCTACTCACCTCCCACCGTTTTAGGAGCTGCATCTGATCCTTGAGGGGTGATGGCGTTCCTACGGATGCGGAAAACTCGGTTTCCAGCCGAGTCTCACGCGAACCGTGAAATACTAATAGTACAAGCTACACTGTGCGACTAGGAATGTAACAAATTATACATGGATTGAACTACCGAGCCACGGCGGCTCGGTATATTGTGTGCCTCCACGATTAATAATTTGAAACTAGGACGGAGGCAGAAAATATTACAAAAAAATGTCTAATATACGCATGCATCTACGCAAGAGTCACCACCAGCCAATTAGGACATGTGTCAAAGTATTGAACGTTTTCGTTCCCTTCTTGTCAAAATACTCAGGTTTCAGCAACACAGCAGAAGCAGACAAAGTCCACCGTGACGAAAGCAATATGCACTATAGAGGACTAGACTGTGCGACTAGGAATGTAACAAATTATAGTTGGATCGAACTACCGAGCCACGGCGGCTCGGTATACTTTCGTCACGGTGGACTTTGTCTGCTTTTGCTGTGTTGCTGAAACCTGAGTATTTTGACAAGAAGAGAACGAAAACGTTCAATACTTTGACACATGTCCTAATTGGCTGGTGGTGACTCTTGCGTAGATGCATGCGTATATTAGACATTTTTGTAATATTTTCTGCCTCCGTCCTAGTTTCAAATTATTAATCGTGGAGGCACATAATATACCGAGCCGCCGTGGCTCGGTAGTTCGATCCAACTATAATTTGTTACATTCCTAGTCGCACAGTCTAGTCCTCTATAGTGCATATTGCTTTCGTCACGGTGGACTTTGTCTGCGTCTGCTGTGTTGCTGAAACCTGAGTATTTTGACAAGAAGGGAACGAAAACATTCAATACCTTGACACATGTCCTAATTGGCTGGTGGTGACTCTTGCGTAGATGCATGCGTATATTAGACATTTTTGTAATATTTTCTGCCTCCGTCCTAGTTTCAAAGTACAAGCTACGTTGCTATTTATGTGCGAAAAGTGCTCGATACCGCGAGGGTAGAGCCAAATGCCACAAGTCAGCAATGGAACAAGTCTATTTATTTGCTGTTACTCTCAGTTTCATGGTTGTCTGAAGATTGGTGAATAACCGTGATACTTAAGAGTAACAGCAGATACTGTCAAGCGTGAAATTTTCGCGGCATTTTTAGTTCGCGTTTTCAGAATCCGGACAGGTTTGCGAGGTTTTAATTTTGCGATTGCAGAAAGGCATTCTTGCTACACCTGTGGCATTCTTGCTAAACCTTTCATGGATCTCCTTTTCGCGCTGTCTAAATTTCGCGATTTCCACACGGTCGCGAATTTCGCAGAAATTAGACCATCGCAATAATTTCACGGTTCACAGTAAACGAGAGAGCTTGGAAGCTCAGGGCCCTACGCTATGCTTTTTTGCCTAGCTCATCATGCATGTTATTAGAACTGATGGAACTTTCTCTTTGGCCCCAACTTCGTTGCGGTCTTATAGTGTTTTACGTCGACCATGATGGCTACAATACCCAACCATACCACAACGAACTGATCAGCTACATCATTGTATTGCAAAAAGTTTCCATCTGTTCGAATAACATGCATGATGAGCTAGGCAAAAAAGCATAGCGTAGGGCTCTGAGCGAAATAAATAAACTTTCTCTTTGCATTCGAGGGTAATACGACACCGTTTTAAGACATAACCTGGGATTCGAACCCGCACTATCGTCCTGCATGCATTCCCCCGATACACTTCGCGTACATACTCATTCTTCCAAGTTCTTCAATTTATAATCTTGCATTTGACAGTCCTATTTGAATGCTAGTATTGTGGCCAGCTGTCTTTAATGGTACGGGACAGGTACGGGATAGCGCCAGGCATGCCGATGGCGCAAACAAACACGGAATTAAAGCTGTGTGGATCCTGGCTAGCGCCAGACGTTACTGAAATAACGTCTTTTGCATAGCTACGGGAATAAATAGCCTTGTTCCATTCCTGCCTTGTGTAGACTATTATGATAGTACATTTATCTGTGATGGAATCATGTACGTTTGTGCTTTGTTGCATTTCTGTTTTGCTGATCCAGGTGGTCTGATATCCGGCAGTCTAGCACTACTTACTGACGCTGCACACATGCTGTCTGACTTTGCTAGCTTCCTCATTTCATTGTTTGCCATCTGGGTAGCCCAGAAGCCTGCCACGAAGTCAATGTCATTTGGTTTTTACCGTGCAGGTACGCACCAGTTTGACCTGGTCAATAGAATACATAATTATACAATCATGTCCTTTGCTCTTCTGCCTGGAGTTCCTGAATTGTATCCCTGCGCGTGTCATTCTGTGTCTGTAAATTTGTTGTTACATGAAGCGAAACATCCGTCTTTTAGCTTATTCTTCGAGTGATGGGACTTGGCACATGTTCGGTACTCCGGAAGTGCAAGTCCCAAACAACTGCACTCGTGCGTACCGCACTGTATTCAAGTACTGATCGATTCGTTGCCTGCTCACTCCTCTGCGTCGTCATTGTTAGAAGCTTGTTGAAAAGCATGTGCAAGTATCTGCAACTGACAGCGGTGTCCTACCTCCTGAATACCACAGTCCAAAGAGCCAGGCACTACAAACACTATGTTGAGTCGGCAGTGTGCCTCTGCTTTATTTACGAGGCTGAATTTCACTTGTGACCATTGTGGCTTTTGCTAAATCTCCTTGGGCAATTTGCTACTGTACTTGCAGTGTTGTTTACAGTGTGTGTGTGTGTGTGTGTGTGTGTGCGCGCGCGTGTGTGTGTGTGTGGACTGCTGTTTTGCTTGGCATGTACAGAGGTCGTGGGTGCGTTGACATCTGTTTTCATCATTTGGATTCTCACCGGCGTCCTAGTTTACAAAGCCATTGAGCGTGTCCAGACTGGTGAACATAATATAAATGCGAAGGTCATGCTCATCACTTCTGGATTCGGTGTTGCAGTCAATATTTTGTGAGTTAATTCGCTTGGGACATGGGTGTTGGCAAATTCAACATCGTTTCTGTTTGTTACAGTTGCTGTGTTTGCTGGTCAACTGAGGGTATGAGTACGAGCATGGCGGTCTATTCAGCATCGTTTCTGTTTGTTGCTGTGTTTGCTGGTCAATTGAGGGTATGAGTACGAGCATGGCTGTGTATTCAGCATCGTTTCTGTTTGTTGCTGTGTTTTCTGGTCAACTGAGGGTATGCGCATGAGCATGGCTGGCGATACACGATTATACTTCAAAAAAGTATTTTGAATTGTGTGTTGCCGTTTTGTCTCTTCTCTTTGCCAACTATTTTCCCTTTGACAGACTTGGCTGCATTCTTCATCAGAGTGGAAGTGGGCACCTGCACTCGCATGGTGGTTCCAGTCATGGCCACAGTCATGGCTCTAGTAATAGCTCTGATGGCGGTGAAGAGAACATTAATGTCCGTGCTGCATTCATTCATGTGATTGGTGACATGGTACAGAGCGTTGGTGTTCTGATTGCAGCCTACATCATCTATTATTACGTAAGTATTAGTCAGTTGGTTCCTTGTACCAACTTTGATGTCGATGTGTGTTCCCGTGTGGCTGCTTGTGTTGGTGCATGGATTGTTGTACATATTTTCTCTTCTATAGTAGCGATGTCAGAGTGCCGTGCCACGTGACCTCCGCGCTTGTCGCTGGATTCCCTAGCAACCAGCTGAAATGATGGCACAAAAGGCCAGTACGGCAGAATGCCAGTCGCGGCCAGAGCGTGCAGTACTTGGCACGCGGGATATTCAAATGTGACCTGAAGACGTCAGTGACAAGCTTGGTCGTGACTATTGCCACGAAAATAGAAGATGAACTTTCGTATCCGCGTTTGTGCGGGCGCGCTGCGCCTACGGAGCTGGGAGTATGGCCGCCGACAAGTTAGCGTATGTTCAGTCGCCTTTTTCATCTCTTGCGCTGCCTGATACAGGTTTGATTTTAGTTCCATCGTGTTCCCCATCGTCCAATTTAGTTTGCTGCCAAGTTTCACCGGCGTATCACGCCGCGCACCAGACTTGTAGTATTTTTCGCGACAGGTACTCCATTGCTGGATACACCGCCATCATGAGTGTTCGTCCAGCAAAGGGACCGGCGGTGAAGATGTTTTGTCGAGTCTTGGACTCAAGGAGGAGCAGCTATTGCAGGATAAGCCCCTGCCTAGCATGATCGGAAACGTTTCAAATGCATTGGTGTTAGAACTGATGAAGTTCAAAGCGGACCACCACCAGGATCATAATCTACTTGTCGAACTCTTCTTGTCTTGGAGAATGGCCAAATCACAACTCATACTTCAGCTACTCTTCAACAGTCTTCTTGAATTTCTCCAACAGTTTGCAGCAGCAACAAAAAAAAAACAGTACAGCTTCGGTATGTACATTTTGTACAGTGCGCAAGATTATTCATGAGCCGCGATCCCTGTTGTCAAGACCGATTTTGTGCCGTGGTGAGATCTGGTTTGTGTACAGTGAGGCATGGTGCTTTTCGACAATGGCGGCGCTTACCCCGCGCACTCTAAACTGGAATAAGTCCACTATATTTGCTCCGATTTGCTTCAAACTTTGCCAGTATACTCTACTTGTCTTCAGGAATCGGATGGTATTACAATATTTGCCCGATTCTCAAAACAGAAATTTACCCTGACATCGCTATCTACAGTAGTAACCACAGATCTCCATTACTAGCACATGTCCAGGGCATATTGAAATATTCCTGGGCTAGCTCAGTCTCTATCGTATGCGCTGTGCTTGTAATCTAAGCGCTGTAATAAGTGTGGTACTGATACATTAATTTTAGTAGAGAAATACGGGTGTATAATGTAGTCGTTAGTTTGTCCTGTGTCCTGGCCCATAGCCATTGGGCTTACGGACCAGAATGCAGTGCGATGCTGGCAGTGTGTGGATTGGTGCGCGCGCGCGTGTGTGTGTGTGTGCGTGTCCTGTGGGCCTAATTCCAAAATAATAAAATCTGCACCTGGCGCATAAGCTGCAGACTAGCGGCTTCAATGTTTTCCTTACAGGCTAAAGAAATTGGTGCATGTAGCCCAAAATGAAGCAAAAGTAGCTTGGGGCAACTGGGAAATATTTCTGTTTTAATACTGTAGAGTCCTAAAGAAGGTCAAAAGCCGTGTTAACCCTGCATAGGTCTTCTAGTTTACAGTACCCGCCACGTGCTATGTGTTATCACCAGCCATGTAGTGCCAAGTTTACATACAATGCATTGTGAACTGTTGTATGTCCTCATGCAGCCTCAGTACTCCATTGTCGATCCCATCTGCACGTTTCTCTTCTCCGGCTTGGTGCTTCTCACAACACTCTCCGTCTTCCGTGATGGCATTCATGTGCTTATGGAAGGTAAGGCATATGCTGATGACATGTTGTGTTCTTGGTGCTGCCTTAGGGGCAATTAGGGCGCATTCTGACGAATGGGGAAGACGCGGCAGGTGGGAAAGTTTTCCTTGGGGTGTGCAGACTCCACTGTGGCCACTTCATCTTTCACACAAATATACACCACTACCCGAAAACGGTCTCTCCGCTGCGAATTCTTCCGAATAAAATAAATAAATTCTATCCAAATTTTCGGGCCAATCCCACCTTCAGGAAAAATGTCATTTTCTTTTGAAGAATTCGTAGCCGAGAGACTGTTTTTGGGTAGTAGTGTATAATTGTGTCAAAGGTGGGAAACTTGTCATGACAAGACGGTCGCGTGCCGTTTCCAGATCGTGCCCACGACAGTTGGTCTCGCGTTTGACCTAGATGTATACGCTGAGCTGATGCCGGTGTCGGTGGAAAGTGTACTGGTCAGAACTCTGCTATGCTGTTTAGGAAGAGGTTATGTATGGGCCATTCGTATTCTGTACGCTATGCTCACTGTGCTCGCTCTGTTTGCTTGATTGACTGTGTGCAGGGAGTCCAAAGAATATTTCCTACAGCGCTGTGAAATCTGATTTGGAGGCGATAGAAGGAGTAATGATGGCTCACAGTCTGCACATGTGGTGTCTGACGATGGGCAAGTCTGCCCTTGCTGTTCACCTTGTAGTTGGTGAGTGATTTTTTGTCACTGCAGTGGTGGCATGCAGTCTAGTGAATTCACTAGGCACTAGTATACATGTACATGCAAGAGTATAATTATACTGTAAAACCGGAAAGTCTAACGACCAAAAAGTTAAACGTTTTTGTAATTTTGGCATGATTACGTGCAGAAAGTTTAACGATGGCTACTTGGCCACCCATCTGTATGCGCATCTTTACACAGACATCTTGCGATAACGTATTTTTCAAATAACGAAAAAGAATTGGTCGTTAAAACGTTAGACTTTGTGACTCGTTAGACTTTCCGGTTTTACAGTAACCTCCCAAGAGTGTGCAACTCTGCATATGGGGTCTCTGACGTCGAAAGCTCACATCGCGTGTCTCGGGTACGTTTCGCACTACGTACAAACGAAGAATAGCGTGCGTGCAATCCGAATATCTGCCATGATCATGATGATCAAGCTGAGGATTTGCATACGCGCAGTGAGTTTCTGTCAGAGAGTGCTTTTTTATTACTCCTCTGCTCGCTAAAAACGGGCTGGCAGCGTACAACTGCGACACTACGCCACGTGATGTGAGTTTTCGCCGCCGGCGAATCCCATGGAAAGGGTATCATGAGTCGCACACTCTGGGGGGGGGGGGGGGGGGTTATATACTCTTGGTACATGTAGGTGACAAGGGCCATTGGGAATGAGTCTTGTTTTTGGTTGAGGACATGTACTTTAAAATCCTGCCAGAGCCCCGCGCCATGTCAAACTCATCGTTGGGTGGGGCAGTTGGGACATCGCTCTACGCTTCTGTAGAACACATCCCTGCGCTGCTTGCGTCCTGCTTTTCCAGTGTATACATGTAGATGCTGCACGGCATTCAGACTGTAGGAGACCGTAGTACAGATCGGTACGCACAAAACACACTGATCCCACTTCTGCCACCTGTGCACTACGGAGAAAGTTACACTCAAGGTTCGTTCTTGGTATTTCCATGATATTCACTTTTTTCTCCTGGAACATGTCAGTTATGAAAATGAATACCCTCACCCCTACCTCCGCAACGTCCACAGGTTCCATGTATCAGGGCTCCGAAGAGTGTACCAGCATTTATTCGAGGTTTTGGAGCTTCATTGGTGCCCATATAGCAAAGCCATCAATGCCAATGCTTTTCTCGCTTTGCAAACCAGAGGCAAATCTGCCTGTTTGTTACGTAAGATAGCCGCTGTGTTGGCTCCGTTGTCAGTCTGATGTGCGAATAAAATTCAGGGAGGAAAAGAGAATTCATATTCGAGGCTGTGCCTGAAACTAAGGGCACACCGACCAACGGTCAAGCTGTGTGAACTATTGTAAACTTGCAAGCGGTTCTGCATGGCAGTACGGCATCGTAGGGCTGGGGGGGGGGGGGGGGGGCTTAGGAGAGATCGGGTGCTCTGGTCGGATTTTACGATACTTGGAGTTGTGTTGGAAAGACAGCAAGCCCACCCGGCAGACTTAGTTTCTGGTTTGATTACCTATGCGTACTTGTGTTGCATACTGCAAGTAGAGCCCTTTGTCTAGTGGCTGGCAGGAGGAATCAGGCTTCTACACATACCCATGCGAATTTAGTTCGTTGTACCAGTACAGTTGTAGCCAGTGAAATCCATCCTCGGGCATAAAATCAGCCTTCAGGGCCATGTTCAGTGCACAACCCGGTGGTGGTGGTGTTTGTAGTGCTAGCACCGAGCAGCCATGGACCTCCTGTTCTATTTTCACCGGGTTGAAGCTCACTTGCCGCCGCAGCAGCAGCTGTAGGTATACAGTTTGCACGGGCGTGTCGGTTTGGTCGCTGTTCCTGTGCTAAATGGACAGTAACCTGTAAACTTATTCGCCCCGCATGTTAGTGTTTGTTTTATCTGTGTACTTACTAGTAACTAGTATGTGTGCCTCTGTGTACACGCTGAGACGTCTACCCTCTCTCTTTCTCTTTCTCCCCGCGTTGATTTGCAGAGCCCGGCAGGAGTGCACTGCAGCAAGAAGTGCTGGAGAAGGCACAGAACATAGCACGCAATAAGTACAACATGATACACACAACTGTTCAGGTTAGTTGGCAGCTTGCTTTGACTGACTACTGGTGCACTCTAACTCTCCTGGTCCGAATCCTGTCAGCAAGCGAACAGTCTCTAAGCCATGTGGTATACTGTAATTGACTCTATTGTGTGTCACGCCCAAGTTGAACATGCTGCAGCCAAGTGTGTCTACATGATTATATCCATGTAGACACACACCCCCCTTGCATGTGATTTCCAAGTTACAGTACATGCGAACGGGGTCTGGTCCTGCTTAGGCCGACGGGAGTTTGCGTGTAACAGAAAACATCCCGATGGGCTAATACTGGCACCGGCTTTCCTTCCGGGCCTCTCTTGTGGCAGGATTGTGTCTTCGGTTGGTACAGTTGTTGTCTCTACTAAGTTATGCTGTGAGATATGCCGGTACTGCTATTTTGTGGTGATCGGGAAACCATGGGGTTTAGAAGAATCCGCGAGTGGTTCAGTGTTTGGAAATGCTCAGTGCTATACTGCACCATACTGTAATCATGGAGTCACCTACACTACAGCCTAATGTATGCAGCCGTGAGGGAAAAATGCCGAACGTTCATGCATTTGAATTTTACCACTGTACGAGTATCACTTTTTGCCTTCAGCACTTTTTCCCTATTCTACTTGTGCAACGGTGTGTATGCATTAGGTTGAGGTGTACCATCGTGACATGGACAGTTGTAGGCTTTGCCAAGACCCAAAGGACTAAATGCGTCTGCTGCATTATTGGAATTGGTGGCTGCACGGCGACTAGTGCCTTTCCACCGACGGCAGTCAGGTACCTGCCACGTGCAGCCAGCTGGACAATCCTATTTCGCTTGACTACGCTGCTTGCTCTCCTTATCATCCACGCTGCTAATGGTTTGGTGTTGACTTTTGAAGTACGTATTTGTTTTGGATCCGTTCTAAGCACACTTGCTCTGCCGTGTGCACATACACACAATTACTACTGTTCATATTGCCTGATTTACTGAGAAAATACATAGCCTTCTTTTCTGGTGCTGGCACCGATCATTGTTGTGAAAAAGTGAACATTTTTAGCAATTCACCAGTTGAAAATGCCATTGTTTTAATCTCTGCTTTTAGTCACACTGGTAATCCGCGTCTGGTCTACCGTTTGCATCGCTTTTTAGTTTTTACACCCCATAGATTTTAGGCTCGATGTGAGAAGCAAATTGTTTGTTGGTGCAATCTACTCGTTCAGCAGCTCCCTTGATGTTTTTTACTCACTCGTTTCTTTCACTTTGTCACATCACTAGATGTTTTTGTGGGCATTCCTTTAATCGTCTTGTTTGTTTTTTTCTCTCATGAGAGTGCATCCGGAAAGTCAATTCTTGAGAAGCAGTTTGCGTGTATATTGCAAATCAAAAATTAATTGTACAGTCAAATCTGCCGTTAGCGACCTCTGCTGTAGGCGACCATCTACCGTTAGCGACCGATTTTCCGTGCACCGACGGTTTCACATACAAACTGATCTGTCCAGAGCGACCATCTGCTGTGCGCGGCCAGCGACCACGATTTCATGCACGGTGGCTGCATTCAAATCTGCTGTAAGCGACCGCGACCCAGGTTCAGTAATGTGCGAAACTGTACTTGCCAGTGCGCTGTCAACTGCAAAGTGTGAAAATGCGCTGTCTTGCAAGTGCGATCGACTGGCGCCTGGCCTGTACTGAGGCTGTGCTGTAGCTCTCAAGTCCAGGCAGTGTCGATCTACTGCCGTGTCGCATACGCGTACGGGTATGGTCGTCGTTGAATATCCAATAAAATGATATTAAAAATCACATTATCCTCGTCGATTTGAGTACATGGAAGAATATACCTGGTATGCCGGATTTACCATACATCTGCCGTAAGAGACCATCTGCCGTAAGCGACCGCTTTTTCTTGCACCAAGGGGCGGTCGCTTACGACAGATTTGACTGTAGCTGTGTACGTGTGTGTGTGCGTGCACGCGCGCTCACGTGTGTGTGTGTGTGTGTGTGTGTGTGTGTGTGTGTGTGTGTGTGTGTGTACATGCCCCGACCTGTCGGAAGGCTACCTTCTTGCTGAAGCATTTGGAAGTTGACTAGTTTTGGCTCCATAATGCAGTGTGTTGTTACTACCGATATAAGTCTAATGACAAGTATTACCGTAAAGTCGCGGATAAAAGCCGGGCTTGCATACAAGCACATCGCGCATAGAAGCCTGAAAATCAAACAGGTCAAATGCATATAAGCCTGTCGTGCGTAGAAGCCTGCTTCTATGCATTCGCGGATCGGGTAGGTCAAGAGTGCATGCGCTATGTACGGTGCATAGTAAAACTGCCGCCATACCGGTAGTCAGTGGTAGATCTATGCGTGTTGCGCGTAGAAGCCTGGCTTCTATGTGCATACAAGCCTGGCAAAAATATCAGTGGTGCATATAAGCATGGTTTGCATACAAGCCTGGTTTGCATTAAAGCCTGATGCAGAAAGCGGCTTATGTGCTTATAAGCCCGGCTTTTATCCGCGACTTTACAGTACTTTCATGGCTGGTATATCTAGTGCATTTTGGCATTGCGTGCTTCTCTCATGACGGGCGTATATGGTGGTACATGGTGTGTGTGTGTGTGTGCGTGCGCATGTGTACGTGTGTGTGTGTGTGTGTGTGTGTGTGTGTGTGTGTGTGTGTGTGTGTGTGTGTGTGTGTGTGTGTGTGTGTGTGTGTGTGTGCGTGTGTGTGTGCGTGTCACGGGGGGGGGGTTAAAGTACAGGTGATGATGATAGGGAGTCGCGGGGCAGTACTACAAAGAACTCTTGCTAATAATTATTATAACAATAATATTATAAGCAGGAGCTTCAGACTGTAGATTGCGTACATCATTCTGCATACTCTTGTCAACGTTGAGTAGTGTCACTCACCGTGTCATGGCTGCAAACACTACTAGTACTAGTAACAGACAGTCGTACCGGTAAGTCATTGCAAGGGCTATCAAGTCACGTACAGCATCATGGTATGCATCTTCTACATAATATCTCTGGGAAGGTGTTGACTGTTGTGCACGCTCAGCTGACAAACTGACAAGTGCACGATATCGATTGTATGAAACTATGACTTTTTGTACAGCTTTTGCGTAGGTCTGATCTGAGTCTGAAAACTTTGTAGACTGTAGATAATGATTATGTTACTATGTAGATCTACACCATCGATGCATCATTGTCATGCATTGGCATCAATCACCTTTTACTTCGAGTCTTCATACGTAGTCGCTATTTCCACTTGTCGGTTGCGGATTCACCTGTTTTGTACGCTTGTAAAGTTGTAGTTGTTCTGTTGTAGCTAGTAGTTGTAGGAGGCAAAGTCTGCTAGTCAGTGTTGGATGGAGTGACTTCATGACTCGGCTCCTTTCTGCAAGGCTCCCTTCAGGATGGCCACGGCCGAGCATGGTGAGCTATTGACCGCTTTACCGGTTCTCCTCCATAGTTGTTATTCCTGTGAAAACAGTTGCATGTTTTGTCATCGGAATATTTTCCCAGAAACATTGTAGGACATAGGCGATGCATGCACGGTGACAATAGCATTGCGTATTGATGTAGGTTGTTTCTCGCCAACGTCATGTCAGGTCATTACCAACTTTTATTCAGGATAGTAGTGCATCTCCCCAGGAAATTTCCTGTGGTTACTAATATCTGGATATCATGCAATGCTGTTATTTTGTCCCTATTTTCCTAAACTCGGTTAGATTTTACTGTAAAAATCAGCAGAGCTTTCATTCAGCCTTGTTAATTTTATACAACAACAAAAAAGAAAATGACCATGTCCGTTCGCGAGGGGACTCCCGACGGCCGTGAACACCCAGTAAAACCATTACAAGCCTAGACTGAACTTAAGTTACATGACAATAGCACCGAGGACGTATCATAATGATCCTGTTTCATTCCTAAGCGTATGATGAAGCAATCACGCCACGCAAGAAGGCAGCATTCATTTGCCCAACATTTGCTGAGTGACTGAATGTTGTCTTCTTGCGTGGAGCGACCGCGTCATCGGATGCTTACATTTAGTCACGAATGCCCTCCGCTTTACGATCGAGTTTCATTTCATTTGTTTACATTTACGTTTTATTCCAAGCAGCTGGCAGTCCATAGCTGGGAGCAGCCAACAGTCACTTGTGCAAGGACTGTAAGGGTTCTCTCATGTAGCCAACTATGGCTGTTTGAAGGAGACGGCTGGCTGCATTGCCTGTAAACACTATGCCCACACTAATGGATAATGATATTTCAAGTGCATGTTGTGTGCTTGTGTGTGCACGTTGTGTGTGTGTGTGTGCATGTGTGTTTACTTGTCTGCTGTGGATATTCTCGTCTGTGCTGGCAACCCGGAGCAGCAAGTGGAAACCCGTTTGATGTGGTGCGCCGAGTTGGCCAGCTACTGCGCGAGATAGCGGCCACGGAGGGCCAGTCTGGCAAAGCGGTGCAGAAAGTCCGCTATCTCAATGACTTGGCAAAGGTAAGCAGATACTCCGAAAAATAACGATAGTATACGTGTCATGTTGTTGTTGTATTCTCTTATTTCAATTCACTTAAAGCACAGGCAGTACTGCCTTCTCAGTTCTCACCAGAGATTGGCTCTCTGATTCCTACCAAAAATGAAAGTAGTACAGACCTTCGTGTAAGAAAATCCAGGGGAGTGAACAATCACTCTCGCTATCCTCTCAAGGAGAGTGGTGGGAGAGCAGTCCCCAGCACCCTCTCCCCCCCCCCCCCCAAAAAATCGCTCACCTCATCTACCCAAGGCGAGCACAAATCACAATACGAGTTTTTCAACATCTTGCCATACCCCAATCGGATTCAATACCCAATAGGTGCCAAATTCATTCCGGAAAATTGCCGTACGCCCTACAAATGGAAGTTGTTCGGACCACAACTTCAGTTTCCCTTCATCAATTTTGCAATGAATCTCAGGCATTCTGGCAAGAGGAACACACCAGTGGGATTTTCACCAGCTGGAGTGCTACTGCAGTGGCACTATAGGGGAGTATAGCCCTGGGAAGACACGCGCAACGGGAAATTGAGACAATTTGCTAAGATCCATGGTATTTTTGTAGTATTCATGGTAGAGCGCTCCTTTCTTTTGTAGCTGACCGCTAAAGTCCTTTGCCTGACGTTACACAGGTCTATGCATGCCCGGACTGTCGACATGATCGTCACGCAACAGCGGGAACTCCTTTATGTCAAAATCATAATGATTGCCACCCAAGTGCGGAAGTGAGAATTTGCAACGGGACGTAAAATACCTTACGAGTGCCGTAACTCCACTATTCGACCCAGGATTGACTTCAGATTTGTTGCAGCCGACAGCTGAGAACTTTCTAATGCGAATAAACCTTTCGATTACTCAATTCCGTTCAGGGAAAGCCGAGTTCCGAAATATTTGAGTGTTTGCAGAATGCACGTCATAGTGATGCGGATACGCGCTCGAAATTCTCAAGGCGCGCGACGAAAAGTGCGCCCAAAATGAAAATAAGGAGAGCGAAGGCGCGCGAGAGCGATCGCTCTCCTTTTACCAGAGGGTCTCTAGTATACCATATTTACCAACGATACATGTACATAATAAGAAATTGACCAACTCGACTGGGCTATTGTGCTGGATAATACTTGAAATGCATTGTCGCATGAATCTTGGATGCGGCCTTGTGACACAGAACGATATTTACATAAATGTTTAATTCCCGTAGCTACAGTCAACTTCGCTAATAACGACTCCGGATATAACAACAATTCGCGAATAACGACATAATTTTCATGCCAAGAGCAAAGTCCCATCCAACTGTGACACATATAATGGGACTTCGGGTATAACGACACTTCGCGAATAAGGACACTTTTCTGATGCCCCGCCGAGTGTCGTTATAAGCGAAGTTGACTGTATGCAAAAGACGTTACTTTCGTGACATCTGGCGCTAGCCAGGGTCCACACAGCTTTAATTCCGTGGGTTTTTTTTGTGCCGTCGGCATGCCTGGCGCTATCCCGTACCTTCCCGTACCGTACCATCAAAGACAGCTAGCTGGCCACAATATTCAAATAGGGCTTTCAAATGCAAGATCATAACGTGAAGCAACTAATACTTGGAAGAATGAGTATGAATGCGAAGTGTATCGGGGAATGCATGCAGGGCGATAGTGCGGGTTCGAATCCCAGGTTATGTCTTGAAAAATAGGAGAAATGAAAAATTTATAACATCCCTATGCTTTTTTTGCCTAGATCATCAAGGTGGCAGACTGTGTCGTATTACCCTCGAATGCAAAGAGAAAGTTTGATGTAGCCAATCAATGAAAAAAAACCATTTCCATCAGTTCTAATAACATGCACGAAAAAAGCATAGCGTAGGGCCCTGAGCTTCCAAGCTCTCTCCCTCAGACCCTGCGCTTGAATTCATCTTTGCGCACAACGAGGCGAACATCAGGAAGCAACTCATTTCACAGAATGGCACCTCGGAAGCGAATGGACAACCGTCCCGCAGTCCCGGGAAGGAAAGGGAGGCGCAGAAGTTGCGTCATCTGTCCACGGGTAGCTCTGCGTTCGTGGTCGACCAGATCGGGGGCAATAGGCGTGTGGGATGACGAAAACAGTGGACTGGTGAGAGTGTGAAGACAACAGAAGACGAAGACAAGGACTTTCTGACGGCAGAGCTGCTCAATGGTGGATAAGTTATCCAGGATAACCGAAGTCTCTCGCGCAGGGGCTGGGTGGCAACGGGGTTATGCAATCACAAGACTGCGTGGATGCCAGCCTTCGCTGATCTCTCAAGCCGTATGAGGACTGCAGCAGTGAGAGAGGGGTAGAAGGAGTTTTGCAACGTAGCACAGTTTCACCTGGATCATGGCAAGGTACCACGTCCGCCAAGCCTGAAGACTCAGTGCATCCGGCCATGCTGCCACAGCTGGCTCGCTGCCTTCCGAGCGTGGCTACAGAGGTGTTGGATGTGGGAACGCCAGTTCAGGTCGTCGTTGATGGTAACACCAAGGTACCTTGCTGAGGACACGGTGGAAAGTTCATCCCCATTACAGCGGACGAGGCGAAGCGGGTTTGGCTCCAAGTTTGACTCTAGTTTCTCCCAGTATGCGACAGGTTCTGATGGGGGAACTGGGCATTTTGTTCACTGCTCCCCGGTATGTACATGAGAGACAAGGAAAATATCTCCGTATCAAAGTATGAGCCGAGTCACATTACATTAGCTCAAATGAACATGTCCAATGGAATTGTTTGAGGAGAAACATGTATCGGGTGCTGGGAACCGGGCATTTTGTTCATATTGCCCATTTCCTGTGCATAAACACTGCCCTAGTGACTTTTAAACAAACAGGGTTTGTACTTTAGCAGGGTTGCACTTCCTAAATGTGCCGTTCACACTCTAAGCAGAGCAAAAATCCTTTTGGATTCTGGCGCCGCGCGTTGCTGGCCATTGATGAGCACTCAGTTCAGCAGCATTGGCAGCGTCGTAACGTATTGATGGCTCTACATGTCTTTCTTTGTGTTCAGGGCCTACGAGACAATGACATTGCCTTGGCCAAACTTCTGAACCCGTTGTCTGCACTGAGATGGTATGTACATGCATTCATGTGGTGATGCCAACATGGGTTGTGGAGTTCTCCACAACATGTCATGTTGTTGTGGTATTTGCATATAGTGGTGTGTGTCACACGGCATTGCGCGGCTCGCAGTGTTTTCTTTTCTATACTCGCGTTCCTTCTTTGCTGTTTTCTAGTCCAGAAGAGAGCGGTTTTGCAATGTAGTGTGTTAAAAGTGAGAAAATTACTTTTATTATTACAGCTGTACATGTACTGATGATTACCTTGCTCTCTAGCTCCACTGTACTGTGTTTTCACGTGCCACCTCACACTGTCAAGTCAATATACGGAGTATATTGCCCACACTCATTGCTCGTGGTGCTATGGATGTTGCGTTTCTCTCTCTCTCTCTCTCTCTCTCTCTCTCTCTCTCTCTCTCTCTCTTCTCTCTCTCTCTCTCTCTCTCTCTCTCTCTCTCTCTCTCTCTCTCTCTCTCTCTCTCTCTCTCCCTCCCTCCCTCCCTCCCTCCCTCCTCCCTCCCTCCCTCCCTCCCTCCCTCCCTCCCCTCCCTCCCTCCCTCCCTCCCTCCCTCCCTCCCTCCCTCCCTCCCTCCCTCCCTCCCTCCCTCCCTCCCTCCCTCCCTCCCTCCTCCCTCCCTCCCTCCTCCCTCCCTCCCTCCCTCCCTCCCTCCCTCCCTCCCTCCCTCCCTCCCTCCTCCCTCCCTCCCTCCCTCCCTCCTCCCTCCCTCCCTCCTCCCTCCCTCCCTCCCTCCCTCCCTCCCTCCCTCCCTCCCTCCCTCCCTCCCTCCCTCCCTCCTCCCTCCCTCCCTCCCTCCCTCCCTCCCTCCCTCCCTCCCTCCCTCCCTCCCTCCCTCCCTCCCTCCCTCCCTCTCTCTCTCTCTCTCTCTCTCTCTCTCTCTCTCTCTCTCTCTCTCTCTCTCTCTCTCTCTCTCTCTCTCTCTCTCTCTCTCTCTCTCTCTCTCTCTCTCTCTCTCTCTCTCTAGCCTGTGCATTCCGATTGTGAATGCGAACGGTGCAGCCCGTGCAGCTGCGTTGCGTGCACTGCGCTACTTGATGGTGACACAGGAACTGCACGATGCTGTGCTAGACATCAAGCTGGACATCTTCATTGTTAGGTACAGTACCGACCCGTGTGACTGACCAGTACATGTACTAGTACAGTATGACTGTGTATGTTGTTGCTGGCTTGTGTTAACCCACTGGCTCCTGCGTGTACACAATTTTTGACCGTATTCTGTCGATGATGTTATCCTTCCGTAACTCAATCAAACGTTGCCCTACAATGTGCTGTGAAAAAAATCAGAGTATGTAGTCTGTAGCCAAAGTCTTAAGCTTTCCAGTGGTGTTATCACACTTGCAATAGCAACAGTGCTTGGTAAGATATTGCTCTCAAAATCTTGGTTACAGCACTGTTCTCCCTGGGAGCGTGTTTAGCATGTAAAGTGTGTGTGTGTGTGGGGGGGGGGGGGGGGTAGATGATGTTGCTGCAGCCACTCAATTTCCCCCTGTCGTTTCAAGTGCCAGTCATCGAAACCTGCTGAGTCAGTATGATACTTATGTGCTATTGGGCATTGTTTTGCCTCTGACCTGTTCATTACGCTGCAGGTCACTGGACCAAGATGTGACCAAAGAAGCTGAGCGCTTGCAGGCTATCAAACTGATTCGCACGGTAAGCGACAGAGAAAAGCGTCAAGGTGCATGCATATGTGTGTTTGTGTGTGCTCTTCATTGTTTGTGTAGCCCATAACCAGTCAATCTGTCAGTACACAGCCGTCGAACCCGGTTTAGCAGGGGACAACAATTTGTGATGATGAGGAAGACTCTAGAAAATTGTAGAGTGCAGCCCTGTGCTTTAGTTCCTTGAGCCAGAATCCGCATGTTGACACTAGCCGGCACATGAGAAATTGTGTAAAACTACTGGCTTCCTGTGGTATTGTATGTCCCCCGATAGGCTCATTGTGGGCGATGATCGTAGACAAAACATTCCGGGTTTAGTGTACGGAGGAAGTAAACAGCTCAGTGTCCTTTACAAGGTCTAACCTAGGCAACTGTTCCATTCTCACACGGTGTTGGGTGTTGTTGAACACACTGGCATTGCCCGATGCTCCGTGGGCTATGTTCAATGGGCACGGTTTCTAGGTGTACATGTACTAGTTGTATGAAAGTACAGTGTAGTTGAATCGCATTGGTCGGGTTGCGCGTTCGTGTAGCATTGTGTGCCTATGCAATCACTAATTTGCATGCTCACACGTTTGCGTATGGTGTGTGTGTGCTTGTGTGTATTGCACATGCCGTTTGCTTGTTTCCCCGTTGTAGATGATGTTGCTGCAGCCACTCAATTTCCCCCTGTCGTTTGGCCGCGCCGTTGTGTCTATTGCCGAGAGCACGCAGGACAGCCTGTGTCAGTCGGCGCTATCCATACTGTGTGAACTAGGTATGGTCACATGTCATGTTGCACTGTGCATAATTGGAAAGGCTTCCTGTCTGAAGCCTTTCCATACTGGTACTCGATGTTCCAGTTTTGTGACACGAGAATGGCACGAGAATTAGTGTACCGCTGAGTGTACCGCTATACACGTGGTCGACACGTAGTCGACACGTTGTTGATACTTTTTTGACACGTGACCCCATCAACGGTCTGCTTTGTGCCAATGTCACTCGGTAAACGCCGATGTCGCGTACGACAAAGACGACTATCCCGTACGCGAAATAGTTGAGAACTGCATGACGTGGACCTGACGGCAAGGACAACTGCGAGAAGGCCCCTTTCGGTACCCCTGACGGGAAGGAGAACTGCAGAAGTCGACGAAGTCGAACGAGGAGGCCCCTTTTCCGTACCCCATACTGCAAAGTGCCATTGATGGATACCTTTTGCACCTGGAACGACCCCTTAAACGCTGTCGCGGCGACTATCCCGTACGCGAAATAGTTGAGAACTGCTGACGTGGACCTTTTGCACCTGGAACGGCCCCGTAAACGCTGTCGTGTCGGCGGAGTGAATGTGCAGGGTACTAGGGTGAAAAGAATTGCTGCAAAGACGTCCGCTCTCTAGGCCTTTGGAGACATCGTGGGAACTCCTTCCGGTACTATACAAACTGCTGACGTGGCCGTGGACATGTACATCAGTGGAGAATCATGGTGGGACTTCATGTACATGGATACATGGTGGGAATTCCTTCCGGCACCCCCGTACCGCAAAGCCAACGGTGGGGAAGGAGAAGTGCAGACGTGCAGGAAGACGAACGAGGAGGAACCAGGACGAGCGAGCAATGGCAGGACTAGCTGGACCGTAAGTAATAGCTGAATTGTGCATGATAACTTGACACCCATGCGGCACTCGCCACTTGCCACTGCATATTTCTTGTCCACTAACAATGTCTCCCCTCTGCCCCCTCTGTGTCTACGGCCCTGTTTCTGAATTGGCCCGATGAATCGAATGTCTTCCGCAACTGGAACGGCCCCGTGAACGCTGTCGCGTCGGCGACTGAATGTGCAGGAGGGAAAATATTGCTGCGAAGACGTCTCCTCCAGACGACGGTAAGGCACCCCATTGGTATGTTGCCAGTGTGTGCCAGGGTGACGCGCGATGGTGAATGAGGAATGATGAAGGGTACGGTGGGACTGTAGACCTGTTACCTTCTACTAACACGTTATCAGGTGGAGAGTGTCTTGTACTCACGTTATCAGGTCGAGAGCGTATTGTAGTCACTCTCTCTATTCCTGTACTTCATTACGTTTAAGGTGTACGTATAACTTCTCAAAAAAAATGTAATGGTCCACAGTCGTGTCGGAAGGGTACGGTGGGACTGTAGACATGTTACCTTCTAACACGTTATCAGGTGGAGAGTGTCTTGTACTCACGTTATCACTATATCAGGTCGAGAGCGTATTGTAGTCACTCTCTCTATTCCTGTACTTCATTACGTTTCAGGTGTACGTATAACTTTTCCAAAAAATTTAATGGTTCACGTCTTCAGATAGAGAGCGTATTGCACCCACTAGTACTGTCTAGTCTCTGTAGTGCATTGAGATTTTGTTGATCGAACATGAAATGGATACACAGACAACGCCAGGCCAAGTACATGGCGAGATGTCGCCAGAAGAACGTCTTCAGGTAGAGAGCGTATTGCACCCACTGTCTAGTCGATTTTGTGGATCGCACATGAAATGGATACACAGACAAAGCAGGCCAAGTACATGAGAGAGTGGACGATGTGCAGATCGACACGGCCTGCGGGTACTTCATTAAAGTTACCCGTGACATAACTAGGATAAAAGTTAATCACTGCAAAAACATTGCCAAGTATGTGAGCACTTTGGACTTGACAGAAGAGTGCACGGGCGACGTTGACAAAACATACCGCGGTGACTGTCACTATCATGACAGCAGGGCACATCGCACGCAGCATCGCAGATCATGTCGAATTGCGCATCATAATATTGCAAAATTGCTCCTGTGCATGCAAGTGGATTTCATTGCACTTCTCAGTTTGGGAAATGCTCGATTATGACAATTCTCCGTGTGAGTGCACTAGCCCTGAACAGACATGTAGGTGAACCGTTTGTGGTGTCTCATAGCCTACCTCACGACCTTCTGCTTTCTTTCTTCATCACTTGTATCTTGCAGGTATATCATCCCGTGACGACCACATTGAAGTCTGAATTTGAAGTGTGAAGATGCTTCAGCAACCACATCGTACTTTTCCATTGCTTTCATTGTGCTTCTACTGTGCATGTGTGTAACTTGTGGGGTAAACATGTGATGACATTGTATGCTGGCGACACGGTCAGATGTTCATGCGTCTAACGTACACCTGCATGTTATGCATTGAAAAGGGTTTGCCACTTGCGATCCTGGGACGAGTATCAGGTCCGCTTTGTCCTGTGTGGGCTGTATCAGATTGCTGTTCACTTCTCTATCTGTTGGATATGTGACTTTCTGCAAGTTTCTGGTGTATGATGGCCACGTCCTTGCTTGTCACTTTGTATGATATTACATTCTGTATTCGCTGCTTCCATGGCATGGTCTGCAAACTGCAATCCTTGGGCAAATGTCATTTTTGCAATGTTGTGCTATGTTGTGCTATGTTGTGCTTTGGCCGTCAGCTTGTCTACACGCTGTAGTTGAATTATTTTTGTTTCACAACTGACTTCCTCAAGTACGGTGGCCACTGCTTTGAATGGCATTATACATGAACAATTTCCTGTTTGTGTCGTGTGCATGTGCGTATGTGTGCGTGGCCACGTGTGTGTGCCGTGTGCATACACATGTTTGTGTATCTGTGTGCGGGGTAGCGAGGCGGGGAGGGCTGGTATGTATCACTGTGTTATTGCAGTCGCATGGCTACATACAGTACATCGCGCGCGCGTGGTCATCATGTTTACCTTCGGGGTTGGGGTGGGGAGGGAACGGAAAAAGAGCTGAAATTATCCATATAAAAATCGCTCTGTGAGCGGTTCTGAAAAACCTTTACTGGTACTGCCCTGTCGTAAAAGTAAGAAATTAGAACTGGCCCATTGTCCCCCCAAATGCGAACTGATCCACCTAAATCGCGAATGACGGGACCCGAACGCACCAGTAGCACGAGGTTCCTACCTGTGGATGCAGATGGGGACGTTGGTCCGGACCATAGGCCATGTTTTGTACTAGCGGTAAGCTTCCCTATCAAAATAATAAATTCTACTACTACTACTGGTGTTACCCTATGATAATTGCCGTGATCCTGTGCCCTCCCGACCTCGTGCTACTGGTGCGTTCGGGTCCCGTCATTCGCGATTTAGGTGGATCAGTTCGCATTTGGGGGGACAATGGGCCAGTTCTAATTTCTTACTTTTACGACAGGGCAGTACCAGTAAAGGTTTTTCAGAACCGCTCACAGAGCGATTTTTATATGGATAATTATATTATAGAGGATATGCAATGATGTCAAATCCGCCTTACTTGGCCTCTCCTCATTGACGTGTCTGAAGTCCTATGTGGGTATAGTGCTTTGGCGGGCTTCCGAAAGAACTGTAATTTTAAATTCTGACCGTTTCGGCAGTACGCTATGGTAGACTTTCATCTACCGCGTTAGCACTGCGGTACGTATCGCTTGAGATGTGTTCCTCGCCATTATCCTCCATTGCAGCAACCGTGTACTTTGGACACGACCAGGATTTTTAAATTACTAATCCACCGGGCTTTGAATGCTAGATCCATAGTGCCGGGCATGTCAGGGTTGTAAACGTTCGAAGGCATCTGTGAGGTTCTACTCTATGTAGGCGAAACACAATGCAAAGATCTCTGTACTCACACCCAGGGCTCTGATGCAATGCTCATGATGTCCTCGTCTTGTTGCCGTTGCGTTGTAGCTGTGCTCAATCCCCGGATGGCGTCAATGTGTGGTGGCATTCGGGCCATCCACATAGGAATAGTCGCCAATCACGTGAGTGTTCATCATCCTCGATACTATACTTACTTCTGCTAATTGATTAGTGATGCTGGTTACTATACTTGTTGGCATCTAGCGCCTGCTCTCTGAGCTGGATGGCTTTGCCTTGGTCGTCTGACTGAGAAGTGCTTGGCACTGCTTGCACACTGCACAGTACATGCACTGTTGAAACCAATTTGGATTACCATGGTGATGTAGTTTCTCCCCACGGTTGGCTGCTTGCCAGAGTGATACTTGAGTGTATATGACTGTGTAGGCAAGCTGCCTATGAATGAATAATGTATTATGTACCCTCATACATTCATAGTACATGCATTCGGGTTGCATGGTATTATCTGCATTTGTACTACAGCTGTACTGCTAGCTGGAATACATGTACATGTACTCCAAAGCAGCTGAACATATTTTTTTAGCTGAAGCTCTCCTCGTTTACATGCATGCTGTGTCCAGTTTTTAGAGGCAATGCCCACGCGATGTCAGATCCTGGAAATTAATGTAGTTTGTGACATGTGCGCGTGCACGCGTGCGTGCGCGTATGTGTGTGTGTGTGTGTGTGTGTGTGTGTGTGTGTGTGTGTGTATGTGTGTGTGTGTGTGCGTGCGTGCGTGCGTGCGTGCGTGCGTGCGTGCGTGCGTGCGTGCGTGCGTGCGTGCGTGCGTGCGTGCGTGCGTGGGTGTGTGTGTGTGTGCGTGTGTATGTGTGTGTGGGGGGGGGAGGGGGGTATGTATGTGCGTGTATGTGTGGTTTTGCGTCTGCATGTGTGTGTGCTAAATGTTGTTTGCCTTTTTCGCAGAACAATGTAATGCTGCAGCGTTTACAGAAGACATATGGGACTTCCATTCCGATGGTACGGTTTCAGTATTAATTTTGCTGAACGAATGTATGTGTGTGCGTGCGTGCAGGAAGTATGGACATGCTAAATTGGCTAAATTCTGTTAGCTGTTTTATGGCTGTGTCTGACTGCACGTTCTTTGTAAGTGTAACATTAATCCAGTGATGTGTGTGTGTGTATGCACGTGTGCATGTGTGCACGTGTGCATGTGTGCATGTGTGCACGTGTGCATGTGCATGCGTGACTGTGTTGGTAGGCGGCACCACTCAATGAATTCATGACGTTGACCCTACTGCGCCTCTACAACACTCCTGAAACACGCCGCTATCTGCGTCAGGACATCGAAATCGAGGTAGAGATCTGTGTGCTTTTGCGTACAAGTACATGCGTGTGGATGTGCATGTCTGGACGTGCATGTCTGGCGTTGGCTGCGCTCACGTGTATGGATGTGTGTATGCATTTGCATATGCATAATTTGCATGTGCACACATACGGATGAATAGGGATGAATAATTGCATTGTGTGGGTGTGTGTGTGGGGGGGGGGGGGGGGGTAGTGGATATCGCTAGCAGGCTATATCTCATGTGGATGTATGGATGTAGAGAACTGTGTTCTTGTAAGTTGTCCACTACCAGTAGCTGATGTTACTTGCTGGTGCTGTGTCGTCTCTGTGTCTCAACGTGCAGACTATGATGGCACCCTTGCTCGATGTTCACTATAAACATTCTGCTGAAAGTGCGGATGGCACCAGTCAACAAGCCAAGTGAGTGACACTGGTTGCAGGCGTTGACACTGGTTGCAGGCGTTGACACTGGTTGCAGGCATTGACAAGCTGGTCTTCAGTTGATGTGTTGTACTAGTATCTGATGGTGTGCTGTTGATATTGCCTGGGATTTGTGGACTGTGGTTTTGTCTACTTTTGTGCTTGGGATAATTTGAATTACACCGCTAACCAGTCTTTCTTATGCTGCTGCTGCTTGTGGTGCAGGAATGAGAAACTAGCTCACATTAACGCCTCGCAAATGTCTATGCTGACAATGTTCCGGACATGGCAAGGTACTTGAAACCATCCTATTTTTAAAAGGCAAGACACACCAGTGTCACCACACCAGTGTCAACAATGCCATATGGCATCAAGTGAAGAACACAGCCAGTAGCTTTTTCTACAGTCAATGAATGTACTCAAACGCATTATGTTGTATTTTTTGTGCTGTACACGTCAAATACGTGTCCAAGTAAACATCATCAAAGCTGATGCGATACAAACATGGTACACTGTGTATGAGTTGTCTTGAGCCACGGGCAAATCTGAGATACGGGCTATGCCTGCTCCCAAGGCGCCCGGATAGGAGACGTTTAAGTGTAGATGTATGTATTTGTGTCTGTGCTGTTGTGTTAGGACTAATGTACATGTGTCGTCCGTCTGAGAAGAGTGCCTTGCAGGCGTTTATTGACGTGCTGCCGTACCCAGAGGAGGGCCTACAGGTAATCATTGCGCAATGCATTCTCTTCCTGGCTCACTCTCCATTTTGCTCCCTGTGCAGCAATGGTGTGTGCAGCATTGTGGTGTGTTCTAAAAAAAGCTATGAGTTGACTGTTCTCCCATGTGATGCGTGGCACTAGTACAGGCAGTTCACTGTCTGTTGCAGCAGCTGTGTTCAACATTGATTGTTATGATTGTTATTATTGTGTGCTCTCCTGTTTGCTGCTGTACAGATGGCTGTGATGAATGTCATCTTTAGTATATTCCACCTGAAGATCCCCATCGATACGGATGATTTTGTGGAGGCACTGGCAACATGCAGTGAGTGCATGCAGCAACTGGTTCTCCTTTGGTTCTACTTGTATCTGTCTGAGTTAGCACAACTGTAGCTGCATGTTTTCTCATTCAAATCTGCTCCCCTTTCGGCCTTTCCTAGCAGATTATCACTGCCCCCGTCTGAGGTAACTGTGTGGTGTTGTGCCGGCTGCTGGTTCCTCTTGTCGTGTGCGTAGATCCGTCTGAGTTCCAAGAGGAGTGGCAGCTTGATCAGGGGTGGGTGGTGGAGGAAGCCAGGGCACTTTTGCCACGCCGCTCTAATGGCAGGTGAGTGGTGGCAAGTCGCACGTGCGAGTGTGAAGTCGCCACACGTGACACATCACCTTCCTTGTTGTTCAGTTGTGTGTGTGTGTGTATGATCTGCGGTGTCTCTGCTGTGTGCTGGGTACTAGTATAACATTGTGTACGCACTTGTGTACAGATCTTCCATTGTCACACAGGGTAGGGGGTAGGAATTGCAGACTATCTCAATCTCCGTTCTTCATGCGTCACCTGTGACACGCTGAGAACCTTTTTTCCGGGCAATGATTTATGCTACATAGCATACGTTCAGAGAAAGTTATGATGGCAGCATCATTATGCCACTGAGCGCACAATTTAGGGCAGCTGAAGTTAAAAGAGCACCGGGCTTGAACACCTTATCTATGCTTCACACTGTGTTTTTTCTCACCCTCTCATAGAGAGAATGAGGCGCCGATGTCTCCCTGTGCTTTTTTTCTGTCTGTGTGTCCGTGTTGGAGAAAATACAAATATTCCCGAAGCTATGCAAAAGACGGTACTTTAGTAGTGTCGGGCGCTGGCCAGGGTCCACATCGCTTTATTTCAGAGTTCAAAGCCCTGCGCCCTCGCTGTGCTAGGTCATCATGTGCGTTATTGGAAATGATAGAAAGGTCTTTGCAATACAAAAATATGATTTTTTCCCCGAATACCACACATGATGACCTACGTGTAGGTAAAGAAAGCATAGCGAGGGAAGTGGGCTTTCAAGCCATATATTCTGTCAGTGGCCTTTCCTTTGCATGTGTCTAACTTCTCCTGTTCTTGGTGCGTGGGTATGTTGTCACGTGTGCAGCAGGGTGAACATGATGGACCAGTATCATGCCGTGGTGCTGCAGGCATTCCTGTCACGTGGGATGCTAGAAGTGAGTTTGATGCCATCTCTACGTACTTCACACAGTCTTTGTCACGGACTGCACTGATGTTTGTACAGTCAACTTTGCGTATAACGACACTCGGCGGGGCATCAGAAAAGTGTCTTTATTCGCGAAGTGTCCTTATACCCGAAGTCTCATTATATGTATACAGGTGGAATGGACTTTGCTCTGGGCATGGGAATTCTGTCGTTATTCACGAATTGTCGTTATATCCGCAGTCGTTATTAGCGAAGCTGACTGTACATGAGCTACTGCAGTTGAAGTCTGGTATTGGTAGCAAAGCAACTCTCTAAGGACATTATTAGATCAAGACTCAAGAATACATACCTCCTCCCCCCCCCCCCCCCCAAGTGTGTGTAACTACAGCTATGGGGTATGCGACGGCAAAACTTCACGTCATGCGACGAACCCGTGCACCTTATTTGTACCCGATGTATTACAGAGTTGTACGCAACCTTGCTTTGTGTTCAGCTCTCCGGTGGTCACTATGACTGTGCTGTCCATGCATGCCAGCGTAACCTCTTGAACCATGTTACGTGATATGAAGTTGTGCCGTCGCAGCACGGGATAGAGGTTGTGCTGGCAGTTGTGTTGTAGTACGTTATTTTGTGTACGTCGTGTGTACGTCATGTTGGTGCATGCGCGTGTTGCTGTGGTGTGAAAAGCAGTCTTCGTCTCGAGTTTGTCATGTCTAGTTGTGTTTCCATCGTCGTCTTGTAATAAACAGTCTTCCTAAATGTAGTTATCGTCGTCCCCTTTGTATAAGTGTGGAGATGGCACGGGACTGGGAGCAGGTAGAGAAAAGGTAGTTACAACACTCTTGAGGGTTATGTAGCAGTTAGTACTCTTTGCTAAGATTAGTCAGCTGTTTGGTCCACGGACTCTTGGAGTTGGAACGTGGTGCAGTCCTAGAGGAATCAGTGCAATGTGCCACATTTGGTTCAATTCACTTCCATTTGGAGCACGTGACAATGTCGACTGCAGGTGGATTGTAGGAAAGAAGGAAGAAGGAGGTTTGATTGTATTTGAGGTTTGATTGTATTTGAGGTTTGATTGTATTTGTTGTATTTGTCGACTTTCGCTGCCACCTTGGTATACTGTACAAAATGTAAATAATTGTTGAGTAAGCGCTGCCTCTGCCATGTTGCCTGCTTGCTCGCCCTCGGCTATTGAGTACTGCAACTGTTGTTGTTGCTGTTGCTGTCTGTCCTGTATGCAGCGCTTGGTGGAGGTTGCCCTGAGCAAGGTGGCTAAAGTGTCAGTCATGGCCACTATTCTCCTGGGAGAGCTGCTTCACCTGGTCAGTTATGATGGCGATGTGTGTGTATGTGGGTATGTGTGTGTGTGTGCGCGTGTGTGTGTGTGTGTGTGTGTGTGTGTGTGTGTGTGTGTATGTGTGTGTGTGCGCGTGCGCGTGTGTGTGTGTGTGTGTGTGTGTGTGTGTGTGTGTGTGTATGTTTGCACGTTATTCATGTCAGGCAGCAACTGCACCAGCAACAATGAGGTGTACATTACAGTTTACAGCAATCTTAGCAATCGCCAATAACTTGACATGCAATCGCCAACAACTTGACATGCAAGACCATCTTTGCGAACAACTATCAAAGACGATTATATTGACGAAAACTTCACATACGTGTACAAGTCTTCAGTAGGGGCTTCACGTGTTTCCTGTTTCAAGTGAAACATTTTCCATGTACAGTCATGTAGCATCCTTTTTGCCAGGGCTGAAGTGATATCCAAAATATGTTTGTTATATTACCTGAAGCCGAAATGGATAAGATCAGAAGTGGAGAATTTGTGCCGCATGATCCATCCATGGCTGATGAGAGATCATGAGACACTGTCGAACAGTGCAGGGCTGGAATGAAGCCCGGACGGTGGGGCACGATCATAATAATAGCGGCCGTTCCAGAGGATGCTGAGCAGTGGCCACTCTTCTGGGCGAACAGGTATGAGCTAGTACGTGTACATGTGGTCGTCGAATGTACTACTACTATGTGGAGGGCTCTCTGTTACGCTTGTGCTTCTGTATTGGTGGCAGAACCAGAGTGTGCTGCGGCAGTGCATTCAGGGTGTGTGCTTGTGCACATGCACACAGCCGGTCAGCCGTGTTGCGCATGAAAGAATGGTTTCGCTCAAGCTGATTGAATGCAGCATGGATGGACTCTTCCCCCTGCTCTTTTAGTAGCCCCATGCCCATCTGGAAACTTTCCAAGCAGCTGACTGCATGGGCCTCAAGAAGGTATAACTTTGGGGTAACATTTCCGCGACCACGCGAAACAACTTCCTGCCGGCAAGCTGCAAGGAAAGAAGAAAAAGAAATATTGGCTTGCAGTTGTGAGAGTGAGTAACATTTGGACTTTTACTGGTGGATATCCTACATGACAAGATTGACAGCTGAAAACTCCAAAATAATTTTCCAGAGTACGGGCAGAGAGGTGTCTACATCACTCCGAACCATCTCTCCAGTTTAGGAAAGGTCCTGATGTCTGGAAGGGCTCTAAGCAGCAAATTTCATTGAAAATATTCGCCATTCAGAGATAAGCGAAATCAACGGAAAACAAGCCCGCAGATGCGGCGCCTTGGAAGCTACGATTCCCGTGAGAACATGAAAATCGGTCTCTCAAGGACCTTGGCGCATGGACTGTATTGATCCTGGGTCGTCTTGGCAGGTTTTACTCAGCCCTCGGAGCCATTTCTGAGGAGTTGGCTTGTGGCATAAATCGATAAAATGTCCCGGCTCACCGCAACGAAAGCAGAGTTTTGGTTGCTAACCGACGGCGTTCCTATCTTGTTGAATGCTCTGTGGCTCATTAGGTTGCTGGCTTGACTGCTCTGTTTCGAAAATGGCTGGTACCGAGGTCGAGTAGGCAACACCACCCCTGCAAAACCAGGATACGCCCCCCCCCCCCCTCCCGAAAGGGTCGTTGTAGCGATACAGTCTTTGCTGCATTTACAATGTGTTTCAAAAATATAGACGCGTGATTTCAAAAAACCGTTAGGCCAGCACCTATACCACATAAAATCTGTGATCACTTTGTGCAAATTCTCGAAAAGCTCCAGCCAACTTTGAATATTTCTAAAATACCATGTGTCTATATATATTAAATGGATTGTAGTTGTTTGGTTTCCTCTGTGGAGGAGACAATGGTGAACACCCCCCCCCCCCCCTCCTCCAGCTACCTCAAAGCCACAAATGATTATATTGGTGATATCGTTTCAGCCCCACTTTTTGTTGCGCCCTCCCAATGAACTAAAACTCACTGTGTGTGTCCATGGCGCGCCTCATTGTGTGGGTACACTCACATTGATGTGTGTGTGTGTGTGTATGTGTGTGTGTTTGTGCGTGCGTGCTTGCATGTGTGCTTGCATGTGTATGCGTGTGTGCGTGTGTGTGAGAGAGAGAGAGAGTGTGTGTGTGTGTGTGTGTGTGTGTGTGTGTGTGTGTGTGTGCATGCATGCATACGTGTGTGTGTGTGCGTGCGTGTGTGCATGTTGCATCAGGCGAACACTCTGCTGCCCATTGAGATGGCCTGCGCCACGCACTCCTTGCCAACACTGGTTTCGGTCGCGACTGACTTCAGAGGTGACGAGGAAAGGCGGAAGTGAGCTTTGGTATTTCCCCTATGTGATTGCACGAGCTTGCAGCATGCCTCGTTTTAAGATACGAGTAGATTTTATGCACACGAAAACACTGTTGCAGCAATTTGTGTATGGGAATCCCGGGATAGGAGAGAAGGTACTCTTCAGCTCTTTCTCAGGTCTTAATGATAGCTTGCATAGACCTCGGTCCTACCGGTAGGACCTACCGGTAGGACCATCATACACAGACATGCTGCATGGCCTCTGTTCTAACATTGACCTAAAACTTGACCCTAAACTGTTGCTCAGGGGCTAATGAAGGAGTCCACAAATTTTAGACGTGATCGCACAAGGCATAGTACGAAATTCCATGGTAACAGCAAATGGTAACCATGGAAACGGTGTATGGAATTATGCATTCCACTGCCTTGGCAGACTAATAAAAACATTAGTACCTGACCACGATTGATGTGCCATGGTCAAAATTCACTTTGGACAGAGTTGCTAGCGCTCCGACAAGAGTATGTGCGGCCATTTTGACAATTGATAAAATTGCGCGTATGCAATGCACTGGACATAGTCTTGCATTTTGCGCCATTACTTTGCCTGAGAAAGACCTCATCTCAACAATTGTTTCAAGAAATTTCTCAACCAAAATCACTTTTGTAGCGCGACTTCCTGGGTCCTACCGGTAGGACCCGTGGTCCTACCGGTAGGACGGCATGCAAGCTATCATTAAAAGAAGCTCATGTTCAAAGAACAGAGATAGTCCTGCCTGTGTTTGTTGTGAATAGTGACAATGAATGCCTTCAGCAGTATTTGTGTGAGTGTGTGTGTGTGTGGACATGACGGCACAGGTATTTCTTTAAATTGCATTACTTAAATTGTTATCTACCCACCTTGTATATACTTCAGCTGTATAGTTGCACAATGATTTGGGCATACATGTGTTGTTTTGGTTTGTATTCCTCCCACTTGCCAACTTAAAAAGTAAAGCTGGAATATAATTGAAGTTTGTATTTTCGTCTTTCTGATCCCTCTGTAGCCGTGCAAACTCTGTTATCAACAATTTGGACTATCTCCACCAGCGCAAGAAGGATCCCCTGCTTCCTAACAGTTTGTACCTGGAAACGATGCTTCAGCAGGTGTGTGTGCTTGTGTGTGCGTGTGCGTGTGTGCGTGCGTGTGTGTGTGTGTGTGTGTGTGTGTGTGTGTGTGTGTGTGTGTGTGTGTGTGTGTGTGTGTGTGTGTGTGTAGAATTATAGAATTACATCATTTACATGTACATGATTTCCTTGATAATATCAATCAAGTCAGGTGCATTATAATATAATGCACCTGACTATTCACAAACTGCACTGTGCATGGTCAACCTCCTATCTTGAATGCATGCATGGAGCTATAAAAAAATCACGGTTCGCGTGAGACTCGAGTTTTCCACACCCGCAGGAATGCCACCACCCTCTTGGATCAAGGCGCAGATGCAGCTCCTAAGCGGTGGGAGGTGAGTAGATCAGATCCACCACAAAGTGGTCAAAGACCGAAAATCTCGTTCACTGCATCCATTTTTCCCTCGTGCCCGGCCACGAGTTCCCAATTAACTGTGGGTCGCAGCACGGCTGAAAAATGGAGCTATTAAAGTGCATCATGAAAACGATGATATTCTCAAAACAAGTCATAACAGCTACCTATCGGTGAGGGAGGGGGGGGGGGGGGCATCAGTGACTGGCACGGGCATTTTCTAATATATTTTTTCTTTTCTTTGTGTGCGTGTGTTCAGTTCCAGCAGGGTGAGATTGAGAAGCGCAAGGCTAGTCGAGCTCCTGATTGGATGCCACAGGTGACCTTTTGTGTTTGATATCTACTTATGCAGCATGCAGCTTTAGTGTAACCTTTTGTGCAGAGGACACCTATTAGCTTCCTCTTGGCTCCTTCCTCTCCTGGTTAGCTTACGACTTGTGTGTGTGTGTGTGTGTGTGTGCTTGCGTGCGTGTGTGTGTGTGTGTGTGTGTGTGTGTGTGTGTGTGTGTGTGTGCGTGTGTGTGCATGTGCATGTGTGTGTATGTGTGCATATATGTGCGTGGGACTGGTCTATTCAGGATACCGATGAAGCACAGCTCGCTAAGACCATTCAAAGGAGCAATGTGAGTGTTGTTGCTTCTACAACTGTATTACTACATGTGTGGTAGACACACGTATACTTCCTCATGAATCCCCATGGCTGAACATTTGGAGATAGTTACAGACTCACCAGGGGTGGATAAGTATGCCTGACACCCTATTCTGGTGGTCATTGCGCTCATTGTGTACATGCAGTTGACATCCTAGCCAGGAATCTGCATCACTGTGCCTAATACTACTCCGTTGCTACATTGTATAATACAACTAGTACGAGACAGTGCATTGGCATATGAGACAGTGTATATTGGCGTATGGGACAGTGTATATTGGCGTATGGGAGAGTAGTGTATGTTGACGTATGAGAGAGTGTATGTTGGTGATGTTGGCAGTAGTCCTGTGGATGAGTAGAACCAAGAGTAGATAAACAAGAGTGTGCAACTCCGGATCTGTCCTGCATATTCTGCAGATACCCCCGCGCACGGGGGAATTTTTTGTGGACGTCACCTTTTTTCAGAAGAACGCGCATTCTGCCGCAGAGCAGTGTGAGTGCACGTGCTGGGCACCGACCATGTAGTGTAAAGCCGGCCAAGAGCACGAGGGAAAACTTTCCGAAAGACTCGCAGCGCGTGCGTCGTCGAAAAGATTACGTCAACAAAAAATTCCGCCGTGGGCCTGCCCATCCGCGAGTTGCACACTCTTGTTTATCTACTCTGGGTAGAACATACTAGTGCTGTGTAGCTGACTTTGCCATCAGTATTTTTTTATTCATTCAGTGTGTGGTGACCTGTGCATTGTCTACTATGCCAGGTGTTGTCGGACAAGGAGTACGATCAGTGGGATTGGCCAACGATTGACTCCATCTTCCGTGTAAGTTGCCAAGTGTGTTTCACAATGCTTGTGTGTGCACGTGTGTGCGTGCTTGCGTGGGCGTGTGAGGACTCTCAATTGAAAGTGCACCCCTCCCCTGGGTGGTGAAGCAGCAGTGGACTTTGCCTGTATTGTTAGCTGTGTGATAGCTGGTGCTGCTGTTGGCAGCAATTCCTACTGCCCAGTCTACCTCCCTGCCATACTGGTATCCCTTTAGCGGAATTGGCCAACTCTTGTCTACACTGTCTGTGTGTATATATCTTTGTCATGTGTAGATGCCCAATGTGAACATCAAGCGCATGGAAGAGCAGCAGCCAAAGTAAGCTAGTGTTGCTGTGCTCTTAAACAAACCCCTTGTGCAAGAATGTAGTGTACTATGCCAGCAGTACTTGTACAAGAACAGGAACTTGGGGTATGATCATTTTAATATAAGCGTGACTCTAGAGCATCTGCGTAGCCTGTCTCCGGCATCATCAACAGACCCAAAGTGCTAGGCTGGCCCGTTCTCCAATGAGAGCTGGTACGTGGCACTCTGACTCTGAATCGTCCACCACATAATATGTATTATATTGTCTCCATTACTTCCTGGCCTTGGTCGCTCAACATCCCGTTAAGCGTGCCGATTGGTTTCGCACTCTTTGAGGCAATGGGCTGAATGGTCAGCTGCGACGACTGCAGTGCGTTGCTATGCGTTCTTGAATCGTGGTTTGGCCGTATTGTCCAATGGACTTGCCGGTATCGTCATCGACATACTTGGTCCGGCTCATCGCAATTGTCGCTTATCTATCGCCACTAAGAACAGGAGTTTTGTTGCCGCTCTGTGAAATTTTCAATAGGCATAGTGAGGAAGCATGATACATGAATACTCTCCGCCACAAGAAAAAATATTCAGCCATGGAATCAGGTGAAGCGAGTCATAGAAGAGAAGCAAGGTAAGCAAAATGCACGAAATAAATCAGCGAAGAAGCGCGTTCTTGCACTCACACTCTTACAGGTCCAGAGTTCATTCAACTCTCCATCACTCGAGCTGCCGCCGCTACATGAGCTGACATTAAATTGCTGGTGTCTAGCTGCTAGCGTAGACTGGTAGAGTATCTGTTGCTTTGTCAGCCTGTCGTATGGCAGCAATGGGAAAGGAACAGTTGTGTGTCACTTCGGTGCTTGAAGGAACCGTGGGCAGTGTGACCTGTGTGTCACCACAGTGTGTTTCAACAGAGCCTTCGAATGAGGCATACAGGCCTCTCCAGACAGCTATCATACGCTCCAATGGATACGCTGACGACGACTCTTGTAATGCTGCGCTTCTGCCAGGTCCACGAAGGAACAAAAGGAACAACCAAACGTCCCTTGCATGCGCGCATCGCATCAAAAACACCTTTCTTCTTCAGCATGACGCTCATACTCCTCTGCCGTGCACGCATGCCTGTCACGCTCTCCAGGATGCCAGTTGCCCCTGCTACAGTTCCGGTCTTCGGGTCGCTGCCCTTGGCTTTTGGCAACACAGACAGTGAATGGCCAATTATTTCCACTTCCCAAAAAAGTCGAACACATCGCGATTCAAAGCACTAGGCGCGATCATTTTTTCTTTGGTGCCTCATTTGATCTTGCCATCACAACCTCCCAAGCAAAAGTAAGTTACATACTGGGTTTTACCTGTCAAAAAGTGTGCGGGAGATAAGCGACAATTGCGATGAGCCGGACCAAGTACATGTACATCCGCCAACGTTCTCCACAGCTGAGGCTTTCAGCTTGTGCTTGTCTTGGTTGCGCGCACCTTCCCCTCCTATGTTAGTACTATAACTTAGAACCTTCCAAGTTGGAAGGCGGTTGGAGTGCGCAAGGCAATTGGAGTACCGTATTTTCTCGAATATAAGTCGACCTTCTGTGCGCCAGAAATTTCGCCAAAAGCTGGGGGTCGACTTACAAACGGAACTCGACTTACATACGGGAATCTGGTACAACAAATGAAGTGACTGGAGTGTCCGTACAAAAATGCACTACCGTATGAACCATTAACATTGAATGAACATTGGATGACACTGGTTTTGTTCAGATTTTGTCTTACTGGCATGATATGATCTCTCCTCGCAGAGAATTCATCATTTTGTATGTGTGGGTGTCATGGAGCTATAAAAACTTTTTTTCATGAAATTGACTCCTGGATTTGGGGTGGTCGGCTTATATTCAAAGTCGACTTATATTCGGGAAAATACGGTATGCATCCAAGACGTGCTAGTGCTGATTGGCAGTTAGTTGTAAAACGTCAGTACCGTTGGTCTGTGTCGTGCAATGTTATCGCAGGAGCGGATTGTCCTGTAACTGGTGGTGTTTGTGGCCAGTATAGCATAACTTGTAGTTCATTGGTCCTTCTTCTTTCCTGTATATTCTTTGTTGGCTCTCCATCCGAGTAATCAATGAATGATTTATCTTTTTATGCTTTTGTAGGTTCATTCGGCGATTGGTGAATTTCTACATGCCTCGCAAGATGTTTTCTCATTTAGGGGCTGTCCAGGAGAACAGGAAGTATTCAGCAGTTGGTCTCCAGTTCTTTGCCTTCATGGTTGCTGGATTGGTACTGTCGGATGAGGTAAGCCACCCTCAAACTTGCCAAGCTCTCTCTACGCTTGATGGCATGCATGAAGTCTGTAGTCATGCTTAGCATACACAGCTTTCTGGCTGAATCTTGACCCAGTGCCCAGCCTGAGTGCAACGTCAAGAGTCTGCGAGCAATCCCGACAGAATGTGCTTGGTTTGAGGCGAAATATATGATATATATATATCGGTATTTACAGACGGTCCTGTATATCGACCGCGTTCAATCATGAATGCTAGCGTGCGCTTATTGATATTGTAGTGTACCTTGTTTCTTGTTTAGCCTCCCAAATGCCTGATGGACTTGCTAACTGAAATTTCGTACAATTTTACGGTAAGTGTTGTATGCGTCAGTTTGTTATTTTGTTCTGGTTAGTGGTTGATTGTGTAGCTTGTGTGGGCATTCACCAGGTGTGTTGGATGGTCAATTACCAATGGGACCAGTGACCGTGGCATTTGTCTCCAGCCACTGCGATCAACTATGCATATGTTGAGAATTGCTTTCTCTCTCTAGTCTAGGTGACAGGTGACACACATGTACTTGTATGTGCTCACACATGCACCCCCCCCCCCCCCCCCCCTCTCTCCCCACACACACGCACGTGTATTGATAATTACTGTTAGCTGCCCGCTGCTTGCCAATGCAGTGTTTGACTTAATTTGTCACACGTCAGCTGCTCTGCATTATCCGCTGTATTCTGTTCTGTTGTAGTACCTGCATCATCCTACACGTACGGTGTTCTCCGCCAGCAGTGTCACCACCACACTGACACGAGACTACTTCCTCTTTCTCGGCAAGCTCTCCACCACTTCCTATGGATTTCAGATGCTGGAAAGGTTCAACATCTTTAGAGCGTAAGTGCAAATTTCACCGCACTGGTTGGTGGACAAGTGTGGAGAGCTATTTGAGATTCTGGGTGTTGTTCATGTCACCAGTACAAGTATCGGTCTGGAGGCCATGCACGTAAACTTCTTAGTGCTATGCTCGTAACTTAGGAACGGCATGTGGTGTGTGCGTGCTGTACTGCTTGTTTTAAAAGGTTCTTGGAAATCTGCGAGACTGACCTGAGTGACCGTGAAGAGCTGCAGCGCTTGCTCATCTCCAGCCTGGACTTCTCTCGCGATGGGCACAATCGCATCGTTCTCACCAAGCTGCTGACCAACACAAGTGAAGTAGGTACCGTACCTCAAACTTGCCTGCAAGCTAACACATGGCAATTGGAAATCACCTACCAGCAGAGGATGGGGGTTGGTCAAGTTGCCATGCCTGAAAACCTTGCCTGCAAGCTTAAAGCATGGGGATGGGAAATCCCCTATTGGCCAGGCACCGGGGTTGGTCAAGTTGCCATGCCTGAAAACTAAAGCATGGGTATGGGAAATCCCCTACTGGCAGGGGACGGGGTGTTGGTCAATTAGTTGGGGTATATGCAATGTGATGTGCTCTGTTGTTGTGTAGAGCTTCTTTGCGTCTGATTATGCGTATCACCACTACCCACTACAATCATCATTTGTGTACTTTCCCTGGCTCTGTTGTATGTAGGCAATGCGATTGTATGCCACAGGGCACCTGAGAGTACTGCTGCGAGCCAAGGTACCTTTCTTCCACACGTGGTGTTTGGAAATGCTTGTTGCACAGGTAAGTCTCTAAGTGTTGTGTTTGGAACTTTGGATTGAGGGATGATTGCATGGTGTTGAGTAGGCACGTGCATAGTGTGTAGAGTGTGGCTTGCTGGCTGGGTTGAGGAGAGAGAGAGAGAGAGGTCACCTGTTCCACACTGGCGACACTACATCTGCAGTGAGAGATGGTCTCCACTTTGGGTTTGTCTTGCTGCACACTGCTACGCCATGGTGGGTATGGGCAGAACAGTGGTGGTTCGTCGGTTTCATCTGCGTCTGCACCCCGTGAAGAGCTCCTTGTCCGTGGCATGTTGCAAGAAGAAGAAGAAATGAAACTAACACTCAAGCCAGTAGTAAAGGCTCGGTCATCAGAAAGGCAGAAACGACAAACGTGCTTCTGCAAGGCAATGTAGAGACGATTCTGAACAGTACTCGGTGTCGCAGCAGAGGGACAAGCCACTAGGATGCACAGTTGCATGCTAGCATGGCCATTCACTCTGACATTATGATCAGAGAATGCATGACCATCGGACTGTGTATAAGCGGTAGATAGTCTGTTTTCATTTTAAAAGAAGACCTAGCGCCCATGCCAAGGAACTATAAAAAGCAGCCAGAGCACCTGAGTCTCAATTCTGATGGTGTTCTCCCTACATGCGTTTATTCTATGCGTTTATTCTTGTGCAACTTTGTGTGAATTTGTGTGCTGATGTGTTGTTGAGTGCTTTGCTCTACTGTGAAGTAGTGATAATCCTGTTCTGGGTTTGCTCTCTTGCTCGCTGTTTGTAGTTGTGTGATCCGAGTCACGATGTCTCCAATGAAGCACTGGATGTGTTGGATGAAGCATGTGAAGATGAGGTGGGTTTAGTGGGAGACCATGGTTGCTAGCTCTTCACGCCTCTTCTTGTGTGTGTGTGTGTGTGTGTGTGTGTGTGTGTGTGTGTGTGTGTGTGTTTAAACATTTTTTTATGAGCAGTGAGGTTCAACGGCAAATATGGTTTATAGGACTGTATTGTGTATGTACGGTGAGTCTGTGCTGCCCGGCATAGGCGTTGGCTGTGATCGTTTCGTCAGATCCAGATCCATAGGAATCTCTCGATCTGCAGGGATCGATTGGTCGAATCCCGATCCGAATCCTTCGGATGTGGATGCGAGCAACCCTGCCCTGGGGGCAGGGTTGACTGGATGCAACGGATTCATTTTTGCCAAACGAGACGCTTGTACCTGTTTGGCGGGTAACAATCATTGATATACGCATTTAGTACACACACACGTGGAAAAGCGGTGCACCATGCAGATGAGTACGAATAGTACAAACCTGGAGTAACTTTTCGATTGTCGTTTTTCTACCTCGACATGGTCACGGTAGCAGTGTGTTCCAAATGTGATCGATTGATTTCGAGGATCCAGTGGATCTGAGATGTGGATCTTGATCCGGATCCGACGAAACGATCACAGCCTTATACCAGTATGCTTTTTGTTTGTTTATAAAGTTAACGTTATCTTGCTGCGACCTTGTTTCTAGGGGTCTTTCCTTCTTTCTGCATTTTGCGAAAGCCTTCTTTCTGGAATTCCCAAACTTAGAATGTCACTATATTATCTCAGGTTTGAAGCTAGCGACTTAGAATTCTTATTGCCAGCAGTACATTTTCGCAAATCCTGGGCCGTAATTGTGATCTTTGTTTTCACATGCTAGCATGTTCATAGTGTTGCTATACTGCAAGTCTGCAATGCCATGGTGGTGTTTATATGTGCATTTCTCTTGTGTGTGTTTCTAGGCATGTCTTCACACACTGGTAACGTTACAGCCCAGTCTGCTACACCTGGGACAGCCCGGCAGAGCGCTCTTCAGTAGGTCAGTCTTTAGTTCGGTGTGTACTCGTAGTTTGTGAACTCTGTTTATCCACAGTTTGGGATTGAATCTATGCTCGCTGTACATGGGCAGTTTGTTTACGCCCTTGAATCAATGCTCGCTGTACATGGGCAGTTTGTTTACGCCCTTGAATCTATGCTCGCTGTACATGGGCAGTTTGTTTACGCCCTTGAATCAATTCCAACTACAGTCTTATCATGTGCCAAAGTGAAACGATTTCATGGACTCCAAAGGAAATTTAATTTGATTCATGTGCAAACGAACGACATCTGCTCGCATTAAAATCAATTCAGGACTCGACTGTAAGACTGTCCATTTGATGGTTGTGATGTAGTTTTGTCTCTCTCTTTCTCCTGTTTGCATTAGGTATGTGACTATCAACAGTGGCTTGAAACTGCTGAAGAGTCTCAATTTTATTGATGAGGAGCTGGGCCGTTGGTTCTCGGTGAGTACATGTACTTGGCACATAACAGAGCGCTGTGTTCCAGTATGATCCACACCCACTGAGGAGCAGGTTTCAAATTTGATATATTCACTCTTGGCTTGGACCAGCCGTTGATCACATCTACGGGCTCGGCGCCAGAGGGTTCTATCTTGAATCGTATCACAGTCCTCAGGTACATGTGCAAAACACAGTCCTCAGGTACATGTGCAAAACACAGTCCTCAGGTACATGTGCAAAACACAGTCCTCAGGTACTTGTGCAAAACACAGTCCTCAGGTACATGTGCAAAACACAGTCCTCAGGTACATGTGCAAAACTCACTAGTACAGTGAAGTATGTATCGAGCTCGTGTCATGATTGTCGCATGCCCTGCCCCAAAAATGATGCCCCATTTTGGGGCAGGGCATGTACCAACCCTGAATCCGGCTCGATACATAGTGGTTATCACATTTGCTTTACACGCAAAGGGTCCCGGGTTTCGGCACCAGATGTTGTGGAACCCTCGTCCCCCCAACGCACAGCTACTCTCACCCGACAACAACTCTCAGTAGTACAGTTCATACATGATATTGGAAAAGGAGAGGTTAGCAAAATGGACGCAAGCAACGCAAATTCGAACTAACTAGAAGAAGGAACAACAAACAAACTCAGCTGCAGTCGTACTTGTGCCAGCCGCCGCAACACACGGGATAGCATGCTGCATATGCTTGTGCAAACCGCTACACAACACATCCGGGAACTTGGCTACATGCGCAACCGCATAGACCTACGTAACAAAGACACCATGGCTAGATTACTATGCGAGTACAGAATACTAGTAGTAACAGTGCAGAGTGGCGTCTACAGTCATGCATAGCTATCCATTACACTACTTTCACATGCTTATGCCTGTAGGCAATGTAACATGATATTGCACCTGTTGTGCCTCTACTTCCATCACGCTGGCTTCACAGCTGGAGAGTGGTATCTATCGTAGCTTTCTATTTTTGGTGTGTTTGCAACAATGCAGAAGGAGAACAAGGCTTACGTCGGCATTGTAGAATATCGACTAGCACAGTCCATGACTTCATTCAAACAGCAGCCAGAGGGGCAGTACACGCGGCGCAGTGCTACAGATAGGTAAGCTTGTCACAGCTATCTTGCCACGTCATTGCTGCTGCTGCTGATCTGATGACCTGTGTGTGTGTGTGTGTGTGTGTGTGTGTGTGTGTGTGTGTGTGTGTGTGTGTGTGTGTGTGCGTGTGCGTGTGTGCGTGCGTGCGTGCGTGTGTGTGCACGAGCGTGTGTGTATGTGCATGCATGCTTGCCTGCCTGTTGTGTCTCTCCTATCTTGTTGGCATGTTATTCATGTGCTCAATGCACCGGTATGTGTGTTTGAAACACTTGTATTGCTGTGCACTAGACCAATGTGTCTTGCCACACCCACTTTCCAATCACTGCCGCTGTTGTTGCAGGCACTTGGCGGGAAGCCGTGAGCTGCTGGTACCCATCCACTTCTATGGTCAGCTAGCACAGCAGAGGGAAGGATTTGAGCTGCTGATCAACACTGTACGTAATGCACCTACACCGTACTGAGCACTTCTTCATCTTTTCTACTCTGATACAGTCATGTAGTTGGACGATACTCTAAGACCACATATATTAACGCCAATTTTTCATATAATGATCTTCGGATTTTTGTTGGTTATTGACATGAAATAATAGACCTTATTCGATTACGTCATCCTTTCACCGCGAGGGCGGCGCTGGGGTACAGTTCAAAATCAAGCTGGCAGAGGCAGCATTTGGGAGAAAGATTTTACGAACAAGAAGTCCGCTTTGGTTGTTTTCTTTCGACATGACTTAGTTTTGGAACGTGTGTTGTTTTGATCCCTTAGCTAAGGGGTTTTCTGTTTTCACCGCTGTCAGCATACGTTCTTAACTAGCAATGCCGCACTCCTGTACTGTTCCTGGCTGTCAGAACGTGTCTGGGGCGAAGAAATGCAAGCGAGGGTACCGACGTGTTCAGGACGGCACTGGCAAATGGTCGATGGAAGAGGATCGTCTTTGTGGGAATACGGCAAAGCGAGTCGGCTGTAGGGGCGCTTGCAGCGTGTGCAGGACGTTGCCGTTTGCCAAGTTCCCCAAACCCCTGCCTGAAAGCGCTGATCCACATCTAGCTAAACGGCAAAGAAAATTAATCAAATCGTGGAAAGATGCTGTTCGAAAACAAAATTTGACGGTGACTGCAACAAACGATGTGCGTGTATGTGGAGCACATTTCCCAGCCCTGCAACGCCAGAATGACGATGAAGTTCCCTCTGTATTTGCTTGGACCATCCCAGTGATGGAGCGCCAAACACTGACCTCCAAGAAAGCGAGTGAGGCCGAGGAAGAAAGTATGACGGTGGATGAGGAAGAAGTGGCCAGCACCGAGGATACTGGAGAGGTGGACGTTGTCGAAGAGAATCAGCGGCTGAGGGATGAGATCTTGGACCTGAAATCACAGCTAGAGCTATTGAAAGACCAAAACACGATCCTCGAAGCTCAGCTTGAAAGGCAGCATTTTACGGCACGGCAGTTCACATCGGACAAAAACATTCGCTGGTATACTGGGTTCAGAACATTCGGACAGTTTGAGGAGATGTTCAAACTTGTTTTGTCCACCCGTTCTGCCACCCAAGCAAGAGGTACTGCACCAATCCTTCCACTGGAAGACTGCTTTTTTATTGCAATGGTGAAGGTGTGGAAGGATTATCCGGAAGAGGAGCTGGCACGGCTAACTGGTGTCTCCCAACCAACAATATCCAGGATTATCCGCCATTGGATTCCGTTGGCTGCCAATGCACTTCGCCAAATCCCGATCTTCCCGAGCAGATCCCAAGTGGATGAGCTAATGTCACTGTCGTTCCGCGAAATGTATCCACGGACACGGATTATCATCGATGCGTTGGAGATTCCGATAGAAAAGCCAAAGAACCCCACCACTCAAGCTGCCACATGGTCGGAATACAAGCAACGTAACACCATTAAAGCGCTTGTAGGAATAACACCTGGTGGTGCTCTGTCGTTTGTGTCGCAGCTGTATGGTGGACGGACGTCTGACAAGGAGTTGGTGAGGAGATGCGAACTACTGAAGCTGCTGGACAAAGGCGATGTGATTATGGCCGACAGAGGGTTTGACATTGCATCCGACGCACTTGTGTATGGTGTTGGTGTCAATATCCCACCCTTTCTCCACCATCAACAGTTCTCTGAAGAAGATCTACTTACAACACGACGCATTGCATCACTGAGGATTCATGTGGAGCCAGCCATTCAGCAGATCAAGAATTATTCCATCCTTCGCTTTCTGCCGATCAGTATGGCTGATATTGGAGATGAAATCTTTTCATGCTGTGCCCTTCTCACTCTATTTAATCCACCATTGATGTAAGTTATTCTGCAATTCGCCTCCTTATGTAGCCTGTATTATTGCCTTCAGGACAGCGCACCTTACTCCTTTAGGCATCTGCAGTACATTGTAGGATATTTTGGTGTTTGTTCGTTACATCGGACTTGGAATGGGCCTTCACTTTTCTGTGACTAAAGATGTTCTGCTCTGGAGCCGTGCTCCCAAGCAGATGTGATGCCGTACACACCCAACAAGTATCCATTCTCATTACGGCATTATGAGTGACAGATCGAAAATTTTCACATAAAATATGCTCTTCATGCCGGTACAACTGCAGCATACATAATGTGGCCAAGCTGATAGCCAGCTGGAGCCACTGGAGGGCCAACCACAGCCTGAGGCCGCCCCCCTGTGGCTGCATTCATGCCATCGTAGAAATAAAACGTGCCATTTTCATGAATATGAGACACAAAATGTTGGCCATTTCCATAGGTCACACCCAGCAACCGGTATGCAGTCAGGCGGCCGGAATCAGTGCCTGGCACTTCAACCTGTAAAGGAAAATCTGCAGCAGAATAAATTGTGTGCCGACCAACCATTTCACAGCAAATGCAGCAAAAGAATGCCACAGAGCACCCCACTCTGGAGCCACGTAGCACCTGCAACCTCCGTCGAGAATACGAGCGCACACCACCACAACGACAAGGCTGACTTCCTGGAAAAAACCAGGCATTCAACATCACCTTTACCTGGTCCGGCCCAGGCAGGTGAGATAGGTCTCCGTCTGCAGAGATGAAGATTTCTGGAGTGACGACATCTTTCTTCACATTGCACCTGTCACATTCGTAGGATACTGACGGAAGACAAAACGATTGATTGATTAAACGCTATAACAAACCGATCTGCTTCTGAACCATAGAAATTAATGTTCTGTCCATCACAGGGTACTCGGGGAAGGCCTAGAAGTTCAAGGGCGTGCCACCAGATGTACTTCGCTGCGCCTGGTTCACCAATGTCAATGAACCCACACATATCCAGCAGGGCATGAGCTGCACGGTTCCCACTTTTAGCTGCGTCTCTAAATTCATGAATATATAATTATGTCATTGCTCCTGAGGAGAGTGAAACAAAACATCAAGCCATTGTCCAGTGGGCACGTATTGCTAAAATAGAACTGTTTGCCATCTTCTGTCCGGTGAGAGCCACCCCAAGGCAGGGGGTACTCTTGCACTTGTCTGTTGTCACTAGTATTCCCAGTCACATCCATGGGTGACTGCGGATTCACTTCCTCTCGGGTAAGTTGCGTGTCAGGTTCACCACTTGGACTATGTTCACCACTAGGACTAGGTTCACAGGATGCACCCTTAGAAGCCTTATCTGTGCCTTCAGTGCAATGCGTTCCACCCTTGCAACCAGCGTTGACTCGGACGGCAGAACGTGGGTGAAAGCCATTGCCACGCCGCGGGTACTAAATTCGTTTACGTTCTTGGCGAAAGTCAGCCCAGATCCTTTAGCAGGCACACTTCAACCTTCTTGCTCCGTGGCACATTCCATTTGCTGGCCTCTTCCGTGCAATTCAATGCTGACCGGTGGTACCCCAGCCGCACAAACTCCTCAAGAGCATACGCAAACGCCGCAAGGTGTTTGCAGGAAGCGTGAGGAGGGTGGCCAGCAGGACAGCCACACTCTGCGTACAGGACCTCTGCATGTGTGTCCAGCTTCATGTATAGGGTATAGGGTTTTTTTTTGTTTCATTTCTGCCAGCACAATGCAGCGGAGATACATTGTTCCTTGCTCTTCGGGATCCACTGCACCTTTAATGGCTTGCACCAATCCATTGCTGAATAGAAGCAGGGCATGCTCATTTACAGCCTTGAAGTTCATTCGGCTTCCATCAGTGGACTGACCATAAATGAAATAAGCCACCATGTTGGCCATGGTGAACATCGGCAAGGCAGTCCGAATGTCAACCAAGGGCTTCCACAAGTTTGGGTCGACTGGAAACTTACTTTTCGTACGGGTCACTTCTATCGACTCTGTGGATGGTGGTATATGCGGTGGTTGTGACTGTGCTGGGGGATTACTGACGTTGCCTTGTACCGGTGGCGATAGAAAGCAACTTTCAGCACGGCCTGAAGTTTTCGCAAATGTCTGTAATCTGCAGTTGACACAGGAACACAAGCCACAGGAAGATTTGGAATTTTTAGGCTCAGCAAGGAATATTGTCACGTTTCATGGGTACTGTGTCACAAAACAAAAGTAAAATGACAAGAACATAATACAGGTAAAATGACTATGGATGCTGTTGCACACTGAGTTGAAAGCAGATCCCATTATAGCAACTCTCAGCAGAGTCGCAATGCTGCCATGCACATGGTCCATGCCCACACCTAACTTAGTCCAAGTGTAATCCCCTCTCCAGTCTCCCCGGAGGCGTGGGTTCGAATCCCACCGCTGCCACCATTGTAACCGTATACTCTCAGCACTCAAAGCACATACTTGTAGTTACGTAAGTAGTTATCATTCGTTCATTGTCTCACAAGGAGAAGAAGAAGACAAGGCAGTGCGAGTATGCGCGCAGCTATCCATGCATTCCTACGGTGTACTATTTATGTGTATACAAATAACGTGTCATAAAGTAGCCATGCTACACAAGTCTACTGGTTTTTGAAAAATATTTTTAGTTCAGCTCCATTCTTTGCACGCGGGCCAATAACGAAAAAAAACAGACGCCTGGGAGAGTTTAGTAATTTTCGGCAACACACTACTGAGTAAGTACTAAGAAGTGAAACGAAGAAAGCTTACCTCCCAATCAGTTCGTCCTTCTTTCCGGAAACGGGTAAGCCATGTTCACGGAGTAGCCTCTTCAGCTCAGGCACTCTCAAGTCGGCTAAAGACGAAACTTTCTTGGCACTCATAGCTGACGGACCAGTCGGTGATACTCCACGACAGGCACTACCTGGAACTCGACGTGAGGGCCAACTCTCGAAATAAAAACAACTGTCTGATGGCCAAGACGAAAATTTTGGAAGAAGTGAAGTCTGTCTCACCACGAAATCTCAAGTATACCCCGGCGCGAGC